GAGAAGACAGCAACAGACAGTAAGTGCCGCCTATGCAAAGAAGCTGAAGAAACAGTGGACCACTTGGTAAGCTGTTGCAAGAAGATTGCACAGACTGACTACAAGCAGCGGCATGACAAAGTAGCAACAATGGTGCATTGGAAGATCTGCAAAAAATATCATTTGCCTGTAAGCAAAAACTGGTGGGATCATAAAATAGAGAAAGTCATAGAAAATGATAAAATTAAACTGCTCTGGGACTTCAGAATTCAAACAGACAAGCACCTGCAACATAACACCCCAGACTTAACAATTGTCGATAAGAAAGACAAAAAAGTCTGGATAGTGGACGTGGCAGTGCCTGGAGATAGCAGAATAGAAGAGAAAGAACTGGAGAAGATAACAAAATACAAAGACCTACAAATAGAAATAGAAAGACTGTGGCAAAAGCAAGCAAGGGTAGTACCAATAGTCATAGGCTCCTTGGGTGCAATCCCAAAACAACTGGAGCACCACTTGAACACCATTGGCATTGACAAATTCGCTATTAGTCAATTGCAAAAGGCGGCCTTATTAGGAACTGCTTCCATCCTGCGACGATATCTGTAATACCATCAAACATCCACATCTGCCTATCCCAGGTCCTGGGTAAGGACTCGATAGGTAGACAGAATGCCAAATCCAGTCTGAACATCTGGCTGACTGTGCGATGATCAATAATAATAATAAAGTTGGAAGGGACCTTGAAGGTCATCGAGTCCAACCTCCTGCTCAGGCAGGAAACCCTACACCATTTCGGACAGATGGCTGCCCAGTCTCCTCTTAAAAACTTCCAGTGTTGGCACATTCACCGCTTCTGGAGGCAGGTTGTTCCACTGGTTAATTGTTCTAACTGTCAGGAAGTTTCTCCTTAGTTCTAGGTTGCTTCTCTCCTTGATTAGTTTCCATCCGTTGTTTCTTGTCCTGCCCTCAGACACTTTGGAGAATAGCTTGACTCCCTTTTCTTTGTGGCAGCCCCTGAAATATTGGAATACTGCTATCATGTCCCCTCTCGTCCTTGTCTTCATTAAACTAGACATACCCAATTCCAGCAACCGTTCCTCATGTTTTAGCTTCCAGTCCCCTAATCATCATGTTGCTCTTCTCTGCACTCTTTCTAGAGTCTCAGCATCTTTTTTTACATCGTGGTGACCAAAACTGGATGCACTATTCCAAGTGTGGCCTTACAAGACATTGTAAAGTAGTATTAATACTTCACGTGATCTTGATTCTATCCCTCTGTTAATGCAGCCCAGCACTGAGTTGGCTTTTTTGGCAGCTGCAGCACACTGCTGGCTCATATTTAGGTGATTGTCCACTAAGATTCCAAGATCCCTCTCACAGTTACTACTATTGAGCAAAGTACCCCCTATACCAGTGGTTCTCAACCTTTTTAATGCCGCGACTCCCAACCGGTCGTACGTCGAGGACTAAACCGGTCATAAGTTGAGGACTACCCAACCGGTCATAAGTCGAGGACTTTCCCTGCCCGGGAGCACCATGCATGCGTGGTGCCACCCCCTGTGCCGGCTGAGGCGTAGCTGGCAAGCGGCAGAGATGGAGCAGGCCGACCACCGGCTGGGCCACCAGCTGGCCCAGCCCAAGAGAGGTAAGGCACCCACCGGAAAAGGGGAAAAAAATGGCAGACAGCCTTGCTTGGCGACCCCCGTGAAATGGTCGATCGACCCCAAATGAGGTCGCGACCCATAGGTTGAGAACCGCTGCCCTATACTATATCTGTACATTTGGTTTTTCTTGCCTAAATGTAGAACCTCTACTTTTTTCACCATTGAATTTAATTTTGTTAGATAGCGCCAAGTGTTCAAGTCTGTCCAGGTCCTCCTGTATCTTAAGCCTGTCTTCTGGAGTGTTGGCTATTCCTGCCAACTTGGTGTCCAAATGTGGACAAATAACTGATTTATACATGTTTGTGCATATATGGTTGTTTATATATACAAAGGCCAGAGACCACAATAAAAAAAATAGGCAGGACAAAATATAGAATCCTGCTTATCAACCACAATTAGGACCGTAACACTGTTGCTAAGAGCTCAGTAGGTAAGTGAAAAATCACGTGATTGAGCTGAACTTGTCATTTATGCTTCTGTCATTAAGCAAATGACTGCAGTTATTAAGTGAGACATCACATGATCATAATTTGTGGTTTGACTTCTGTGTTCTCCATTAATTTTGCTTGCTGGTTGTGAAGTTCACAAATGGTAATCACATGAGTGCAGAAAGCTGCCATAGTCATAAATGCGGATCAGTTGTGAAGCTCATGAATGGTAATCACATCTATGGAATACTGCAAGAGCTGTAAATATGAGAATTGGTCACAAATGTGTTCTTTTTTCACCTGTTGTAATTTTGAATAGTTGCTAAACAAGGCAGTAGGTAAGCAAGGACTATCTGTAAATAAATAAATGATTGCCCATACACAAATATGACTGGGATGGTATAAGATTCCTGCCCTCCCTTCAAGCCCTATGATTCTATGAAATCACACACAATCATGCAAACACAAAAGAGGGGAAGATTATGGGTGCCTCATTCAGCAAGCATAAACGGTATATATTCACTCTGTAATATGTCTCATTGACTTCACTAACTCTTACTCCTCAATCAGTACATCAAGGACTTTTAGTCCTGATCTGTGTGTGTACTACCTGCATTCTCCTATCTTTCCTCTCCCTGGATACTGGGGAAATTGTTTTTCTCCATTTAAAGTATTCATTGATTGAGAATTTTGATTTTTCCCAAACTCTTATTTGCATGGACAGCTTTCAAAGGTACCAGCAATTAAATAGGAAAACTGTTTCAATTAGATAAATTGGCTCTTCTTTCTCCCTTCCTATTTTATTTTATTTTGATTAACACAAATATATGTGGATAAATAAGCCAAGAATAGTTGCACACAATGGCAGCAAACAGAACTGAAACTCCATGAGATTGAATAGATAGTAATTTCTGACAAACTTAAACGTTATATTTGTAGAAGTCTTTCAGATGACATAGTATCCATTAATTCTGAATTCTTATGTGTGCAAACAGATTATACTGACTGATTATGTGTCAAATCATTTTTTATTCTTAGCAAAAACAGAGGTTTTTCTCCATGAGATCTGTCCCTAATCTGGGCTTTCAGGTCTTTCCAACAGTGGACTCACTGCCTCTGTAACTGGGATAATCCACCTTATGGCTTGTCATCCTCTTATTCCCTTTTCTTTCACTTTTCTCAGCATTACAGCCTTTTCCAGAGAACTAGGTCTTCACATAATGTGTCCAAAGAAGAATAATTAAACAGATTGCATAGATTTGTTTCTGATTTTTTAAAACTATGTGAAATTCAGTTTTCATTCAGAGAACAACAAACATCCTGAGAAACACCTTGTGGCATCTCTTTGCTCAGCTGTATTTAAATGTTTTATAAGATTTCAAGAGAATGAAGCTTTTTAGCATTTATAAATAACAAGAGTCAAGATTTTGGCATTAAGCTTAAAGATTTATACTCTTTTTCATATGATAAAAAGCCATTTGTATATATGATCAATCTGTTATGTGCCATCAAATTATTTTTGACTCCTAGTAACAGCCACAGTAGTTAATTGATAAAGTATTATTTGTGGTTTAACATAATGGGTGAAGCCAATTTTAAAACAAACTACAGGTAATCCTCAACCTACAACCACAACTGAGCCCAAAATTTCTGTTGCTAAGTGAAACATTTGTTAAGTGAATTTTACCCTATTTTACAACTTTTCTTGCCTCAGTTGTTAAGTTGTTAATCACTGCAGTTATTAAATTAGTGATACGGTTGTTAAGTGAATCTGGCTTCCCCATTGATTTTGCTAGTCAGAAGGTCACAAAAGATGATCACATGATCCCAGGACACTGCAATCCTCATAATTATGAATCAGTTGCCAAGCATCTGAATTTTGAACACATGACCATGGGAATGCTGCAACAATTGTAAGTGTGAAAAATAGTCATAAGTCACTTTTCCCATTGCCTTTGTAACTTTGAACAGTCACTAAATGAACTGTTGTAAGTGGAGGACTATGTTTATGCTTAAGATGGATGAGCCAAGCACAGATTGAAGAAATAACAGACCCCAGGTAGAAAGTGGATAAAAGTTTCTTAGGACACACTTCCTAAAGCTAAAAATTTAGAAACTGAAGTCCAGGAAATAGGAACAGCCTCACACTGGATATAGCAGCCCTAGGAACCCTGCGAATAATATGTTATCTATGTGTATTACTGAAATGTTATAAGAATGATTATACACAGATACAATTACCGATAGGGGAGAATATTTGTACCTCAGGTTTAAACGAGGGGTCCTTGGTGCTCTCTGAGCTTGGTTGTTTACCTGTAGAGGTTTCTTTATTCAAATAATATTACCTAGTTTGGGTAATGAAACGACTGGAAGAAACCAACCAAGCTCAGAGAGCTGCCAAGGATCCTTCACAGATACAATTATTTCGTGCAATATTGACAAGATAATCTTTTCACCAAAGGTTAATTGCATGGCTTAACTGAAAGCAATAGTGAACTAACGGAAAACTAACAAGCTATGCATAGGGTTCAACTGAATGCAGAAAAATATAAAAGTGGTGCGGGTAACAGCTTGCTGCCGTTCCTACTGCTTGTTTATTTGGTTATTGCGACGAGACGCTGAATCCTTTTTTTTTTTTTTAAAAGGTTCGCCCCCCCCTAACGTCATCCGAAAGGAACCGCCCTAGTTAGCGACGGACCTTCTCTTCGCCTGGCAGTTTTTGCCAGCCTCCAAAATGTCCCACCGAGTTACGGTCAGCTGCGGCGACTCGGATGACGTTTGCAAGCCTTTAGCGCTCGTCGACCAATCAGCGGCAGAGAAGGGCAGTGCGCGAGAAATTCGAACAGTGTCGCGGTTGACGTCCGCGCTGTGAATAGACGGCCGAACGGACGGAGGGAGAGAAGGTAGGGGGAGAAATGGCTACTCGGTGAGGGAGCTTTATGGGTGGGAAACGATTTTGCTGCGGGGCCCGCTTGCACACCTACGGAAGCCTTTTTTTTTTTTTTGCCACCAAGCTTCGGATGAGAACGCTACTAAATCTCTCAGGGTATTGGCGGGAAAATCCTCCGGTGAGTTCTTTTTAAAAATGTGATTTCAACCTATTTTTGATTTCGTACATTTGGGGCTGGTTAAGGTAGGAGTCGAAGCCTCCACAAGTCTGCAGGGCACTAGGCTGGAGAAGGCTGCCCCGAGGACTTTAGGGCAGCCTCCTGAAAAAGGACTGCAGCCTCTTTCTGCCGGGACTTCTCTCTTGTTAGATTTGGGAGCGCTTCTATCTGTCACGTGGAGATCAGGCTGCCGAGCTACATGACAGGGATATTCATCTTCATTTTAGCCATGGTCTGCCCACTGCAGGGTGAAGGCCTCTTCCACATGTTTCCAACCAATACGGTCCTGGATTTTGTTTTGCCAATTGGGCCCACAATACTTGCTGATGTTGTGGATTCATCTTGTTTTAGGGTCCCTTTTGTGGACTCTTTATCAAGTGGGATCCATTCTATGGCTGCCTTGGTCCACCTGTCATCAGTTCTTGCTATGTATTCTTTCCATTCTTTTACTCTCTTGATGATGAGTTCTCGGAGCTTGTGAGTTGGTTTCTGAATGTTTCATTACCAGGCTAGATAACATCTTCAGCAGAGTTTTTAGCCTGGTAATGAAACGTTCAGAAACCGACCCACAAGCTTGGAGAAAGAACCTTCACCCTCATCCTACACCCGAGTTACAGATGTTCGCCATTATTGCATCTCTTGATGATATCGTATACTTTCATTTGTTCTCTAATCCAGGGTCCCCAACCCCCGGCCCATAGACCAGTACTGGGCCAGCACACACAAGCCCATGCACTCTCCGGTCCACGGAAAAACTTCTCCATGGAACTAGTCCCTGGTGCCCAAAAGGTTGGGGACCTCTGCTCTAATCCATGTGCAGGTCTTTCTACCTTGTCTTGTAATGCCGAGCATGTATCTTTCCATGGTTCTTAGCGCCAGTCGTAGCTTTTGTATCAATTGTGGGGTGGTGTCCATGTCCATTGGTATATGTTAGAGCAGATAGCACACACTGATCAAAAACTTTTCAGACATGGGAGGTTGTTCTTGAAAATTATGCTTAGGGACAAGGATGTTGTAACCTGGTAATCTATCAGTTGCTCTGGAGAGCATTTATTTTGGGAAGGTACTTGCAAAGTACTATACATGCAACTTGATGTCTGATACAAATATTTAAGTTTGGGATCTTGTGTCATAATAAGTTTATCTTGTTCCTCCTCCATTTCTCATCACTAGTGTCTTTGCCAGTCACAGCCATATTCAGATAGTTCTCGAATTATGACCACAATTGAGCCCAAAACATCTGTTGTTAAGTGAGCCATTTAAAGTGAGTTTTGCCCCCTTTTATGACCTTTCTTGTCACAGTTGGTAAGTGAATCATTGCAGTTGATAAGTTAGCAGCCCAGCTATTAAGTGGACCTGGCTTCCCCATTGATTTTGCTTATCGAAAGGTTGCAAAAGGTGATCACATGACCTTGCGACACAGCAACAGTCATGAGTTAGTTGCCAAGCATCTGAATTTTGATTACATGATCATGGGGATGTTGAAAAGGTCATAATGTGAAAAATGGGCATAAGTCACTTTTTTCACTGCTGTTGTAACTTTGAACAGTCACTAAATGAACTGTTGTAAGTCGAGGACTACCTGTATACGATACATACAGTAGTCAGTGAATATATACACTTAGTGGACTCACCTTCTCAAAAAGTATTATATGTGATCCTTGGCAAACAAGTGGTTGCTTGCCCTTTTAAAAAGGAATAAACATAATACTGTTCTTGCTCTGTGGAATGATGGTGATGATATGATAGAGTTGGGAGGGGCCTTGGAGGTCTTCTAGTCCAACCCCCTGCTCAGGCAAGAAACCCTATCAGACAAATAGTTATCCAATCTCTTCTTAAAAACTTACAGTATTGGAGCATTCACAACTTCTGGAGGCAGGTTGTTCCATTGATTAATTGTTCTAACTGTCAGGAAATTTCTCCTTACTTCTAGGTTGCTTCTCTCTTTGATTAGTTTCCATCCATTGTTTCTTGTCCTGCCTTCAGATGTTTTGGAGAATAGCTTGACTCTCTCTTCTTTGTGGCAACCCCTGAGATATTGAGAATAACTGTAGCCTTGGTGCAGTCCCTTTGTATAAGGACTTGTTTTAGCCAACAGCTAATATCAGAAGGAGAATGGTAGTGCTCACAAAAACCTATGACTTTTAATATAATTTCTTACTTTGAAAAAGTATTATGAGACACATGATTTTTGATGTAATTTCAGTAACTTTAAAATCAATATTGCTAACTTCATTTGGGTTTGCTAAAGTGCCTGATGGACTGCTTATGTTGGTAGAGTGCAAATATCTGTTGCTTTTCTTGAATTTTGCAGACAAAATTCATATTCTTTATACATCATACATATCCAATTTTTTGGCTTGTCTGGGCTACACTGAGTGAAGAGAAAAAATTTGGGGCTTCATATAAAATATATAATATAATTAATACAGAAAAAAGTTTACAAACTTGTGGGGCCATTTTACTAGCTGTCCATGGGCCTCAGGTTAGACATGCCAGCGTTACATCACAGATTATGTATTCTTCTATGGACTGATTGCTGAATTTCATATCATTCTGGTGCAATTTCTATGATGCAGCAGCCTTATATTATCAGATAGAAAATATCATTTAATATTTTATAACTAAATTTTCAAAATGCTACTAATATGGTGTTATATATAGTGTCATTATACAGTACTATTATTTCTCATTCACAATTTAAGCATTCAATAATTTAGGGAATTTAGATGCATTTAGAATGGGGTATCACAGAGTTTGGCTGTCTCACTTTACAACACCTTTTTAAAGTGAAAATGTAGGGGAATACAGTTCATATTTGTAGATGTCAGACTTTTTTTAATTAAAAAACATAATAAAGAGATTTTGTTTTTGGAGATGCTGTACTTTTTAAAAGTTGAAGAATTTTAACGTGTATTTTTCTTTAACAGGAAAGAAAAAAATGTCATTGAAAGCAGTTTCTTTACATAATATCCCTGGTGGTACACCTTTAAAGGATTTTGTAAACTTCCAGGTGAATTGTACTTTCGATTCAGCTAAAATTCCTCCTTCAATGGTTCTTACTTGCCAAAATGTTTGTTCGGGCAAAGAGATTGAAGGAATAAATGTTTTCCAGTCCACTTTAGTATCTGACAATATGCATACAAAAGAGTTATTTGACATCAGTGAAATTAAAACATCATCTGAAGGAATCCTGGGACTGATTTCTTCATGTCAGAAAACTAAGCCACTGACAAGGAGTGTCATTCAAAAACGTAAAGCTTGTGAGTCATTACCTTTTGAATCTCCAGCAAAAATCTTCTCAAGAATGAAACAAAAAGCAGCTCTTGTCAAAGAAAAAAACAAGCCTCCAGAAGCTAAATTGTTGGACTCAAGGTGTACTGCAGATTATATTCTTACTCCTGAAAGGCAACCTGCCTTTCTACAAAGATCAGAAAAAATACCTATACATGAATATAAACAAAAGACAAAGCTGGGTGAGGATTTTCTTGAAGAATCCAATGTAAAAACAGGTTGGTTGTATAATTTCTTTCAAGTTTCTTCTAGTATCATACTTAGATGTTTGAGATACAATTACAAAAATAGGGGTTCTACCTAATAGTGATTAGAAATTGGACAACTTGCTCCCTGCCTTATTAACTCAGACTTGCCTGCAGGATTGATTGATTGAATTTATATGCCACTCATCTTCTGTTTTAGGTGACTCTGTACAGCTAACCCTATAGTAAAAAATAGAAATATAAAAACAAATTAAAATAGGTTACATACAGAGTAAAAGACAATCAGTTTAGAGCAGAACAGGGGTGGTGCCTTCTCTATCATTGCACCAGCCACCTCCAGCGTATAGCTTCTCCATCAGGGCCCAACACCAACTGGCAGAGCAAAGTTTTAAAGGTCTTCCTAAAGGCCAGAAGGGTGGGAGTGGATCTCACCTCTTGACTAATGGAGTCTGCATTCTTTGCCAGAACAAGTGGGATGGGTCAATTCCATTGGAGCAAGTCGGTTTCTCAGGTACCTTAGACACATTCCATAAAAGGCTTTAAAGGTGATGAGCAACACTAATATTTTTCAGTAAGCTGTCCTTTGCATTTCATGTACTGCCGATGACTTTTCTCCAACTTTCTCTTGTTCATTTTTATACACATAAAACATCACAAAATTGGTTTAAACCAGTGGTCCACAACCTTGGCGGCCCGGCTGGGGGCAGGTGGAAGAGGGGAAATATTAAATTCTGTTTTCTAAAATGTTATTTTCACTCTACCAGGTATTGAAAACTATTTATCAGTGGATTTGATAGTTTTTGTTCTTTCATTTTCAGTGACAAATTCTATTTCAGTGAACAAAAATATATGTATTGCACTAATAAATTCTCCATTTCTAGAATCCCCCAACAAGTTCTTCTCCCGTGTAAAACAGAGGTTGCAGGAGGATTGGTCGCAGAAAGGTAATATTTTTTCTTAGGCAATGAGAAGCTTTGCATATATTTTTGTCTTGAAATTCTGTCTTCAATTTTTCACTTGCAAGCTTGTGGTCACTTTATAATTTTATTATAATTATAAGTTGTTTTTAATGACAACTTACATAGCAAATTGCCAAATAATTTGTAGTTGCTTTTATTCATTTACTCATCATTTGCCTTTAGTTTTTTCAAACTTTTGCCCCATAGTATTCTGGTTCTAGTAATTTTTAACTTATATAATTTTGTTTTGTTTAATAATTAATGTTTAAATGTTTTCTACCATTTTTTATGATGTTTGTAAACCACCCAGAGTCACTTGTCAGTGTGATGGGTGGCATATAAATAGTTTACATACATACATACATACATACATACATACATACATACATACAAGAATTGGTCATCAAATAGCATGATCACCATTCAGCAGGCTCTTCGTTAGTAATGCACACACACATGCACATTAACACACACACGATAGTTAGCTATCTCATCATCATCATCATTTTATTAAGACTTTTATATAGATAAAAGATAAATGTAAAGAAAAAAAATAGGAAGAAAAGAAAATAGTTAAAGAAACAAAACAGTAAGCAACTTGCAGTTTTTATAATGGTTAGAAACAAACTCATTATTGTTCCTGTGTCTTGATATTACAGAAATCTCTTCAATCCCTTATTTAGCCCTTTTTCAAATTGCTTCACTTTGCTTTTTTTTTTTTCAGCAAAATGTCCATAAAAAGTACTTGCTGTTTTGTTCCTTACCAAATAGGTTGGTTTTGCCATTTCTGCCAATTCTGGCATCTTCACAATCCATTCCACAATTTTGGGAGTTTCAGTTTGCCTCCATCTCTGTGCATATAATAATTGTGTTGCAGTTACCCTATATAAAATTAGTCTTCCATCAGATTATTCTAGTTGTCTATACATAAATCCCAAAGAAAAGAGATCTGTTTTTCTTGTTATTGATCTTTAAAATTCTTTGTATCTTGGTATGTATTTGTATCCAAAATTTTCTGCCTTCTTCCCAAGCCTATCATGCATGGCAAAGTATCCCTTATGTTTTTCATATTTCAAGCTCCTCATTATTGTTAATCATTCCATCATGGTTTGTCGATATCCAATCAAGTCCAATTCTTTATTTGCATACATCTGATGGAGAGAATCTTGCTAGGCTAAAGCGATAACATCTAACCTCATAGATATATCCTCTGAGAGAATCTAGAATGTGGCTATCCTAAACTTTTCCTCCTCACCCCCCCCCCAATCCATCTTAATTTGTCTTTCTCTCTTGAATATACTGCCTCCTCCCTGGAAAACTGGTGCTACCAAGATTCCCACTCCCACTCCTCCAGGTGCACATTCCATCACAGTAGTCCTCATTTAACTATGCTAGTTGAGATCAAAAACTTTTGTTAAATGACACAATCAAAAGTTGAAAAGCTATGATTTTGCTGCTTAGCAACAGCAGTTTCAGCAGTCCCAGTTGCTATCATTAGAAGAGCACACTTGTTGTTGTGTGAGGCCCTCGAGTGATCACAACTTCCAACCTCCTGCCAACTTTCCCATTGACTTTGCTTGTGGAAAGTCGGTAGGGATGGTGGCAAATTGTGATCAAGTGGCCACGGCACACTGCAGTGGCTGTAAGCGTGAAGTCTGATTGTAACTACCATTCATGCAGCACTGAAACAAGTTTGAACAGTGGCTGACTGAGTGGTCCTTAGATTTGTACCGCCTGTATTTATTTAATTCACTTATTTTCTGTATCCCATCCATTGCCAAAAATACCAGATGGCTACCATCCAAATAAAATTCGAAATACTATAAATATTGCAATAACGATTTAGCAGTGAGGGAAAAGCAAAAACACTCCAAATATCTCTAAACCTTGCATTTATTTTTGTTTTTACTTTATGTGGGAGTATGGGAACTATACAGGTTTTAAAGGATAGCATATTCTAAAAGGATGAGGCTACTATGGAAATAACTCATGTCTGAGGCCTTTCTTAATATGTCGAACTTTGACATTAAGGGATAAATAATTAGCACTCCTCTTGGCTCCAAACAAGTACAAAGCCTCCTGTTCTAAGAAGTTAGCATGGCTGAGGAAAAAAATGATTTAGGCATAACAACTGATCCTGAAACAGTAGATGTCAAGTGAATATTTCCTGTAGGAGATGCTTCACTGTACTAAATTTAAAATGTCTGTCCTTACTTACAGCAAAGCAACCTTTAGTCACATCCTGCCCAACAAAAAAACTTAATAATTTTAATGAAGAATGCCTAAGTACTACTGTTAGCCAGAAAGAGAAGATTATTGTGGAACCTGCTGAATTGGCCAGTGAGACTTTTACCATAATATCTAATCCTCTGATTGTGAGTGATGATCATATTAACTCTAGAGAATTCTTGAGGGAAGAAGCATCCAGAAAATTTCCTCAAGAAAAAGCAGTGGTGACTCCATCCAAAAACATATATGGCCAAAAAGCAGGAGAAAATGTAAGTGTTTCACCACAGAAACCTTCCCAACATCTGTGTGATTCAATTTTTGCTACTCCAAAAGTCCATATACCAAGGAAACGACGGCATGATACCAAGGTGCTCTTGGATGAACCTGATACAGGCACAAATAAAAAGGTAGAATCTTTTTTTAAATTTTATTTTATCCATTTGTATCCTGGCTAGCTGGAAAAACAATGCACACCAGCCACAGTTAATCACAACTAAACATAATAAAGGGGTCACCACAACTACCTTTTCTTGTGTTACAATATTTTTTTCACTACCTCAGAAAAGAGAATCAGTGTGGGTGATGAATGGTTGACCAGGATATTTTCTGTTAACTATTTCATTGAGAAAACGAGTAGGCATGCGCAACACTTCAGGTTCTGTCTGAAAAAGGTATTTTTGAGTGTTGAAGCAATGAGTAAGCAATTGTTTTGCTATTCTAAAATAGCATCACCTGGCATCACCAGGTAGCTGTGGACAATAGATTACATTCTCAGTCCTAACTGCAGCTTATTTAGCTTATCATTTATTTTTCTATTGCTCTTTTAGGTGATAATTTTAGGGAAGAATAATTTTGAAGAGCCATAACTCTGAAAAAAAGTTCTCTCTTTAAATAATTATAATTTTAGAAAAATCTTGGAAATTACTAGCATCTTATTTGCATTTATTTATTTATATTTTGTATTAATAGACTGCCCAGTTCTCTCAAAGATGCAAGTCCGCTTGTTTGTACCATTGAAGATCAGAGATTGAATAAATGATCCAGACTACATCTCTGCAATTTTTATTAAAAAAAATAGCATCTGTTTTTTAAAATTGGTTTTAAATTTCTGTAATATAATAATGGAGTTTCCATTTCTTTCAGAATCTCAGAATAATTTCAGAAATGTTTTGAATTTCAGAAAAAAATAAATCTTATGAGCTTCAAGATTTTCCTACTTTTGGATTGTTTATAATGTTAACAAGATACATAAAGGGATGTATATGGCTTTGTATATATCATTCTCTACAAATCTTTGCTTGAGTGGTACAACTAATACATGTTGGGGGAGGTAAATTACTACACTAGCTATGCAAGGTTTTTTTTTCATAGATTCAGAAGAAAATACTTAATATTTGGGTTCAAATCATATAAAAGAGATTTGCACATTTTGAGTGTAAGTAGTAATCACAAATATAAGGAAGAAGAATGAATCTGAGCATGTCATACAACAGAGGTCCCCAACCTTTTGGGCACCAGGGACCGGTTCCATGGAGAGGTTTTTCCATGAACCAGAGGGTGCATGGTTTTGTGTGCTGCCTGCATCCCACGGATGGGGCTTTGTTTGTACGGACCAGTTGCTGGCATGCTGCAGACCAGTACTGGTCTATGGACCGGTGGTTGGGGTCATAGAACAGTCGGGTGCAAACTAATTATGACAAAAGTTTATATTCCATATTTTTTCTAATTTAGTTCTCAAAAGAAAAACAGATGATATGTATGAATCAATGGAGAATCAGAGTGATCAATAACAATACTGCTGTGTGTCTGGAAGGAAAACGGAGGCAAGTGACTGCTTTTCAGTTTTATTCAAATATGTCTACATGGTTTTTAATCACTTTCATGGATGGTCCTTACATTTAGTATTGAGTTATTTTATTGGACTTATTTCTATAAACTTGAAGTTTATCTCTGAGGAGTGTAGAGCAATTTAAAAAAGTTATAAATACAGACAATCTCTTAAACAATCAAAAACAAAGGAAAGCAAAAAAAAGCAAATTTAAATGGAGCAGTTGTTATGCCATAAATTTAGCAGTGGATAGCTTTGTAAGAATGAAAAGTTGAGTTTGGATTGATTCCTTGATTTTCCAGGTAATGCTGTGGATGACAGTTATCTCTTCTCCCATGTTATTTTTTTGAACATCTTGATATCCAGCTGCCCCCTCCCTCCCTCATTTCCTTTGCAAGCTACATTTCGTAAAACTAAAAAGATGGGGTTTAGGTACTAAATTGTGGTAATTTTTACTGGGCATTGTAATGTAAATGATTGACTAACTGTGATTATTAATTAAATTCCCTCATATATTTCTTTTATATTCAATCTATGTTTCTTTTTAATCCCGAACACATAACATGGCTTACAATTTAAGTTCCCAAGAGTAAATTGAATATATTATAGATATTAACTACATCTTGAGTAGACTCATGTATTTATCAAAATTTATTCTGTCTGGTCCATCTTGTACCAGTTAAATAAAACAGTTAACAAAAGTTTTAAGTCCTTTATAATACATTCAAAAAAATGCCTGCAAATATTTCTTCATAAGGAAAATACTTGACAGATCTGTCTTATTTGCGTATAAGATATACAATTCACAATAAAAAATGCATACATTGGGAAATGGGAGAAAAAAATTATAATATGCTCACATTACTTTTCTAGCTGGGATCCTAAGAAAGCATAATGGTGAGATTAATTCTTTTCTAATTATACTATGTCCTTTTTATTTTAGAGATATGAAGGATATCTTCTGGCATAGCAATGTAATTGTAGAACGCATTACACACAATCAAGTCAAAACCTTGACAGGAAATATCTACATGTTAGAAGGATATATTGATGCAGTTAGCATGAAGAAAGAAGGTAAGAGAAAAGGAAAACCACATTGACAGTCTGGAATTTTTATAAGCTTCTTGGAAGATGGCTTCTACCTTGCTGCTTCTTTTCCAGCTGTTTATGCTGACCTAGTACCCAAACCGTCAGTCCCTAGTAATTATTTATGAGTTCTACATTGTCCTACATTGGGAGCTATGAGGCACCTGCCTATACTAAAATAGATTAACCCGTACCATATAAGATCTAGTACTGATCACTGTGCTGCTGAACACAGGTACTCCATTACTTCTAATTCCCTTCTGATGTTAAGTGAAATCTAACAACAACACATATCTGATTTATGTTTGTCATGTGAGGTTTAAAATGATACCAGATTTCTAAATATTAATTTGTTTCAAATGATAGCTTGAATAACTAATAGTGTTTGCAAGAAGGAGAATATCTTTAATATATCTATTGCTCAATTTAATTAATGTGATTGTAAAATGATGGATGATTGAAATATTCATAAAAGCACTTTGCCATTCTAATTTGCAAGGGGTACAGAAATCTGTACTCTCATTTTATTTATGCATTTTGCCCAATGTGATCTAAGTTACATTTCAAGTTTATATGCTTCTTCCATCTCAAAATTTGCTTTCTTTTTAAATTTAATTTAATGCTGATTGTGTGGTAGCATCAGCTTGAGTGGAGTCTTGGATGTCATAATTTTTAAAATGCATAACTTTCCTCTATCTAGAAGTTCCCAAGATAACACTTCCATAAAAATAAAGGTAAGCATTACAAAAAAAGGAGGATATAATACAGATTTAAGATAGTTTAGGAATTTTCTTAAAATTCTGTAATCCTGTAAGATTATCATTGTTTTGATCTCCTCCAAAGGTTTGAAAAATGGTATAAGAAGCACCCTTCTAAAACATAACAACTATCCAAAGGCTATACCTTTGTTTCAAACAGGAATACCACCTAAATTCATAAAGAGGTTTGGGACAGGAATCCCAAGAAATTGGAAAATGCTTGTTGATGATTTGCTTCATTATTTGAAAGGGTCAGTATCACTGAAAATGTTTATGGTTTTTGAGTCGTTGTGATAGCTGTGATTGTTGGTAAGGATTTTTGAATCTTCAAAATATTTAAGAAAAACTTCAATCCAGTTTCTGCAGAAGACATGAAAGGAGTCCCCAACTGGGTGTCTCCTGGGCAATAGTAATGTCACCGGCTAATCCCTTCAACCCTGAAGGGCTAAACTGTGATGCAATTTAGTCTGTGGCTTCAGGTAGTTTGTACTAATTTTATCTTCTTTCTCTTGAGTAAATTTCTAGAGTATTTCTATTGACAGTTCCTCAGTTTGCAATCAATAATGCCTCAATGGAAGGACTGGTTATCCGTGACTGTTTGAAATAAGAGCAAAAAAAAAAAAAAAAAAAAGCCCTTTATACTCTTTCCTTTCCTCTCTTTTTTCTGTATTCATTATTTTTCTTTTTTTTTTCTTAGATGTGAATTATTTTACTGTTGCACAAAATTCTTCCATAAAAGTTAAGTTTTTTAAAAGAAGATTCCACTTGAGAAGTTTATGTCCTGGTTTTATAGCCAAAAGTTTGGAAAACTCCTGTCTTCCCTAGGTACTGTGGGAAGTCAGCCCCCCCCAGGGAAGGAAATATTAAAAGGGCAGGAAAATATATTTTCTCAAAGGATCTTAAGAGGCAGGAAAGCATGACCAGTTTTCTTAATAGCCCCAGGCCTCCCTCCCCAAGCAGGAACCAGCTCTATAGAGATGTAGATGTAAATCCAGGGAGCTGGGAGATTAAGAAGACAAAGACCTAAAATCTACATACCCCATCCAAACTCTAAAAGTCATCAGACCCAGGGAAGCAGGACCTTCGGACATAATAAGATTGACCCATCACCATCAAAATACCAGAAAGGCACACTCAGACTCAGGTCAAAGTTCATGCCACAGGAAACTACTCTAACCTTCTTCCCAAAGCAGTTGCCATGTTTATTCCCAGCTTGGATGAACCAGGATGAAGTACTTTAGGAAGAGACCTAGGAAACAAAGATGTTTCTCTATGGCAGCGGTTCTCAACCTATGGGTCGTGACCCCATTTGGGGTCGAACGACCATTTTACGGGGGTCGCCAAACAATGCGATCCGCCATTTTCCCCCCTCAGGGGGCGCCGCCGCGCATGGGGGCGCTGCCGCGCATGCGCGTTGCGCATGGGAGCGCATCCGTGTGACGGGGATCGCCGTCACACAAACGTTGAGAAACGCTGCTCTATGGAGAGATGGATGAAAGCAGGGCTTGTTGTTACTGAAATTGCCACCTTCTGTTGAAGACAGCCTTCTACAACAAATGGGGGTCTGGATAGGCATCTCAGGCTTTATCTGATTCCTTATACCCGATTTAAATAAACAACTTCAGAAAAGAGCTGCTGCTGCAGCATACCAGGGTTTAAATGTTTTAAAGAAAATAAAAATATCTGCTTAAGAGATTGAAGTGAATAATACTACTTATGCAAACCTTTAAATCTTAGGAAAGAAGAGAGAGCATTTCCTGTAAGTGGTGATAGCAAAAAAAGAAAAAACGAATGCTCAGAAGGACTTGATCTGCCCCAAAATATTGAGAGAAAATGTAAAATGAAAGACACCACTTATGAAGTATTACCACTGCAAAATGATGAAATATATGGTATGCATGTTCTCTCCTTTGTTTTTGGAAGATTTTGGTAGCAAGGAGTCTTTTCAAAAAAATACTGTTGTATTTATGATGTTCCTATCCCCTAGTAATTTCCTATGAAATTTAGTTTTGCTCACAGTGGGAAATAGTAATACAAAATGTGCGGACTTACAACCAAATTTTGGGCCTGATGACAATGCATACTGGAGAGAGAATAATGCTGACCTAGCTGTATGAGACAATTTTACCTAAAGGAGATGGTAGCAATCAGTGATCTTTGTAGCATGTGTCTTTCTCTTCCTCAGTCATGTTTACTTAGTAACCATTTCACTTCCAATTTAACAGATTGTGGTTGTTAAATGGGGAAAGAATGTATTAGCCCAATTAATCCATTAACCTTGTTAATACTATGCTCCATATAGAATAATGAGAATGGTATTCCGTGGGTTATGAAAGAGGTATATCTAGATTAACCTAATGTTCAAATGCAGGTAAGTTATATGGCAGGAAACAGCCTTTCACGTTGTTTTTAAAAATCCAAAATATTTCCGTTACCAATAACTGTTGCTTCTATAGACTCCTGTTATCTTAAGCTAATAAAAGTTGACTGAAGAGAATTAAATACTCAGTAGGGCTACTTCACTTTTTCCTTGGATCAATTATGAGGATGCTTCTAACTTTATGTTTATATTTACAGTCCAGTACCTTATTACACAGGCATAAATTTGTTGTTGCTGAAAAATATTGTGTGTGTTTGTTTTCCTTGTTAGATATACAGATGAAAACAATTGATTTACAGAATGACGTTGATAAAAGTATCACCCGTAGTGGGCGGCGTGTTAAGCCACCCATGCAGTTCTGGTGTGGGGAACGGATACGTCTTGATCAGGAATTAAATGTCACTATAACCAAAGGAGGTGCCAACTACTTATCACCTGTAAGATTTCTTTTTATCCCTATATGTAAATTATTATTCTGAAGTGATGACAGTGATAGAAATTTTAAGCAGGTGCTTGTAGACATTTTGGATTCCTACAAGTTGAGAATATTATGGATTGAAAAATCCATTGTTTCTATCATTTAACTTGGAAATAGTTATTTTTCCCGAGTCTAAAGAAATCAGTTGAATAATGTGAGGGTGGCAAGTGGACCTTGTTGGTTTTTTCCTTGAAAAAGTTTGCTTCTCATCCAAGAAGCTTTTTCAGTTCTGACTAAATGGTGGGGAATTGAATGATTTCTATTCTTTTCAGTCATTTGGTTGTTAGCTTACACAGAAGGCTGTCATTAGCTCTCTGAGAGTCGTTGAGGCCACTTAGAGGTTTATCTGTATCCTCAGCATCACTTGAATCAGAGTACAAATGGATATGGAACCTTCTTGGGTCTATGTTGTAGACAGGAGATAGGTGGTGTTATATCCCTCCTCCTCTGTTGAGAGGCTTTTCAGTTTGAACATAGATGGCCTCTTTGACCCCTCTTTGAAACCAGTGGTCCTCTCTGACCTGAATGTGAACTTTGCTGTCTTCAAAAGAGTGACCGTTGTCTTTCAGATGCAGATGGATTGCCGAATCCTATCTTGATGAATTTGTTTTCCTGTGTTGTTCCATGCATTTGTGAAGTGATTGTTTTGTTTCTCCCATGTACAGGTCTGCACATGTCTCACTGCATTGAACTGCATATATCACATTGCTCTGTTTGTGTCTAGGTATTTTGTCCTTGGGCTGGATAAGCTTCTGTCTTAACGTATTCCTGAGCTTAAAATGTGCACATATGTTGTGTTGGAAAAACTCAGAAGGATTTTCAACCAACACAACATACATGCACACTTTAAACCCAGGAATACATTTAAAATGCCTGTTAAGTTGCATGATATTGTGAATGCTGTGCACAATCTGTAGCTCCTGGATCTGCAACCTCTGCTCACGGAGCAGTGGCAGTCATGGCTAGGAAGGCCCTTGCACAACTTTGTACTCTGTGTCAATTGAGCCTGTTCCTGGATTGATCCATTATACTCACAGTTTCTCATGCTCTAGACCAGGGCCTTTCAACTTTTTCACCAACTGTACCACTTTTAGGATATGGCAATATTCGAGTACCACCTAGCAAGATGTCAAAAACTTGACAAAAAAGGAAAAAAGTGATAAAGTACAGGTAGTCCTCGACTTACAACAATTCACTTAGTGACTGTTCAAAGTTACAATGGCACTGAAGTGACTTATGGCCTTTTTCACACTTATAACCGTTTCAGCATCCCCAGGCTCATGTGATTTATGTTTGGATGCTTGGCAACTGATTCATATTTATGATGTCCCAGGGTCATATAATCTGCTTTTGCAACCTTTTGACAAGCAAAGTCAATGGCAGGGCTGCTGGTGGCCAAGTGCTAAGGTGGGACTTCCTTCAGACCCTCCCTCCCTTTCATTCCAATCTCCCTCCCTCCCTCCTCTCTTCCTTCCTGTTTCCCTCCTTCCCTGCCTCCCTCTTTCTCATTCCCATCTCCTTCCTTCTGAAGGAAGAATTTGAAACCCCTCCCCCCCATATTTTCCCTCTTCCATACATTTATCAAACAAGGAAAAGTCTCCAGAGACAGAAAAGACAAGCCGGTGAGGGAACTAGCTTAAAAAGGTGCATTCCCCTTTAAGAATTAGTTATTGGCTAGAAAGGAAAGTTAAGGAGCCAGCAGCTAGCACTTAAGCAAAAACAAACAAACAAATGTATGGCTGCTGGCTAAAGCAGCTTCTCAAATAGGTCCATTCATAAGTAAACAAATGCTACAGGCAAAATCTATTCAGGACAAAAATACTTCAAAATCCCTTGCAGCAAAACTTACAGTTAACAATAGCAGAGCCAAAGAATTAGAACCAGTAAACCCTCACCCCAAAATCCAACATGAACCTCCACAATAGAAATTGCCAAACACTCCTTAAGAACACAAAGCCCACATTGCACAAATCCCAGAACTTCAAAGTCACAAAATCACATAAGAATCCTTCCACTCCCCCAGTTTGTTGTTCAGCTGATCCAGAACCGAATTGCTGAAACGGCATCGCTTCTGCCAATAAACATCTCTCCAGCAGCCAGGGGCATCCTCTCGCCTATTTCAAACAGCAGCACTTAATTTTTTTTTCTTTTCTCTTAAATGTATAGCCTCCTGGCTGGAAAGCAAGCCCCCAGCTTTTTCTTCCAATACTTCCTTCCTTTTCGTTTCCCTCCCTCCCTCCTGCTCTCTACCTCCCTCTTTCTCATTGCCATCTCCTTCCTCCCTCCCTCTGTGCCTCACCTCCAGCCAATGCTGCCTTTTTTCATTCCTCAAGTTGTAGATCAGCTCCCAGCTGGCCTCTTTGATCTCTTCTCCTCTCTCCCCCCTCCTTCTTTTCCCTTTGGTGTAGCTCCAGTTGACTCTTCCTCCTACCAAGGCTGCATCTTTTTTCTCTCTCTCTCTCCCACCCAAACTGCCTCCTTTTATAGCCTGTCCTGTCTCCGCCCCCCTCCTCCTCCTTTCTCTTCTGGGTGACCCGAAAGTGCAGATCCTGGATCCTTTGCCTTGCCCCAACCGCCCTGCAGTTCCTGAGGACTCTCTCATGGCAAGTCCTAAGCTGCGCTGCTTTGGCTCATTCCCTCCCCCACTACATTTGGCTAGGCTGGGCAGGGCCATGTACAACCTGCCAGGTGCCAATGTATCACCGGTGGTACGTGTATCACAGGTTGCTTTAGACAGCTCCCAGTTGGACTATTGCAATGTGCTCTACATGGGGCTACCATGGGTCTCTCAAATGCAGATGGATGCTGAATCTTGTCATAAATGCATACATACCAAGGTAGCAAGCACAATAACATTCAGAACATATTATGTTAGTTGTGTCTCAGTTATACATGTGGTTTCATAATTTTAGGCCCAGTTTAAAAATGCTGGGTTTGGGTTTTAAGGAATAAAAGTTTTTGTTTGTTGTGGTTTTTTTTTTTAAACTAAAACACAATTCTTTGCTAGTTCGCTCCTTCCACTTAGCTCCAGAAGGCTGAACCATTCTTGCATGACATCAAATAACTTAAATATTTCAGAATTATTTTTAATAGATATGCTTTGTGTTTCAAACATTCTCTGATACTTCTGAAGCCTAATTCTTCTGAGAAATGTTCTAATGCTGTAAATAAAATAGCGCTAGAATACTCCTGATGCAATGCAACCATTCCAAGGATGGAAAGTTTTGACTTGAAACATTTTGAGCACTTTTCTCTTGTAGACATTAAGATCCTGACCAGGAACAGTCTTTGCAGTAGTGGTCCCGCATTTATAGCATGTTTTCCTCAGTAAATTTGGAGAGTTGGGATTGGAATTTTAAAAAGAAAACAATAACATTATTGTGTTGCTAATTCTACTGAACAGTTTTAAAGAACTTATAACTTTGTTGTTGTTGTTATTGATGCTAATTTCAGTACTGTTATTTTTTTCAATAATTTTTAAAATTTGTTATTTTGAAATCTTAAATATTACCTCAAACTAGAAACTATTACCTGAAAGATACTGTATATTCAGATAATAAAATTTATAGTGCATAAGGCTTGAACTTTAAATAAACTGAGAGTGCAACTTTAAATCTTTAAATCATAAAGCTGGAAAAGACCATTTAAAGCATTGACATTAAACTCCTCCTAAGGTCAAGAAATCAAAACAAAGTTTCTGCTTGAAGACATCCATTGAAGGGGAGACCAATAGTTCAGAGGATTTTAGAAAATTCAAAAGTGTTACGTTAGGAAGTTGGTATAACAATCGGTTAGGAAATGTCTTCCTGTAAGAATCTAGTTTATAGGTTAAGACTGGTCCCTAAACTCTGGTATGTGCAAAGACATCGCCTCTCTCCCCCACACAATGCTGCCGCCTCCGCTGGTCTACCGAGATGGAAAGGTTGGGAAACACTGGGTTAAGATTCTTTCTCTGTATTTTGTATTCTGAGTTGACAGTGAACAGGTTGTGGCCATTTAAGTGAAACAGCCTCTGGTAGTTGAGGAATGCCTATCTATAATTACCCAGTTGTCTTTTCTCAAGGCATTAGTTGTCTTTAGTTGTCTTTACTTGCAAGACAACTTTTATGCCCTGATAATACTCATTGCATTTCTTGCAATTCATTCAAATTTGTCTGAATCCCTTTGAAAGTATGGTATTAAGAAAATGAACAGAGTCCTGGAGGTGGAATTTGACTAGTACAGGATAAAATTGTACTTTTCAAATTATGTTTGCTTATATTAGTTCTTTTGTTCCTCAAGGCAATGAGCAACACGCCATCTGGGAATAGGCAGACTTTGAAATTTACAAAGAAAAATGGTGAGAGCCTTTTTAAAGATCATAAAGAAGTGCCTTCGAAACAAGCAAAAGGTAGAGAATATTTAAATTCACTTTATTCTTGAAATTATTGATTCAAAAATTCTAATAGTGAACAGGGTACTCCACCTTTGCCTGGAGGACATGATAACTAATGGCCTTAACCCATGTTAAGGTCATAAGCGCTATTAGGTTGCAAAATATTTTTCTTCGGGTCAGGTAAGTACATAGTCGATAGGTGGGTAGGAAGTGTGTGTGTTAATCTTTATTATTTATTTATTTATTTATTTATTTATCATATTTTAAAGTCATCTTTCTCCCTCACAGGGACTCTGGGCAGTGTACAATAATATGTTTAAATATTTATAGATGGCAACTTTTCCCTTCCACTTTTATAAAACATGACTTATATTCTGTCAGGTATATATTACAACAAAATTGAGGTAATTTATAATATTAATGTTGCATGAGCTACTCTTGATTGCATTAGGATTCCCTTAAATGTAAGAAATGTCCCAAAACTTCTCTTCTCTCTTTCTGCTCTAAGGCAAAAGTCAGTTGGATTACCAGGATTCAGGTAGTGTTTGCAAAATTATTTTTGCCCTTCCTTTCTCTTCAAAATAGCCCCAATCATCACGTTAATGAAAATTACACATTTAAATTGATGTGAAGTAAAATATTCATTCATTGATTCTAGCCATGGTCTATCCACTGTAGAATGAACGTCTATTCTGCATGTTTCCAACCAATACGGTCTTGAGCTGCTTTCCTTTGCCAGTTGGGAACGCAATACTTGCTGGTGTCATCGGTCCATCCTGTTTTAGGACTCTTTTGTGTTTTTTTTTTATCAAGTGGAATCCATTCTATGACTGCCTTAGTCCACCTACCATCGGTTCTTCTTGCTATGTGACCAACCCATTTCCATTGCAATTCTTTTGCTCTTTTCATGGCATCATATTTTTCACCTGTTCTCTAATCCATGTGCAGGTCTTTCTATCTTGTCATGTAGAACATGTATCTTTCCATGGCTCTTTGCGCCATTTGTAGCTTTTGTATCAATTGTGAGATTAGTGTTCATGTTTTGCTGGCATATGTTAGAACAGGTAGACACACTGATCAAAAACGTTTCAGGCATAGGGGGAGGTTGTTCTTGAAAATTATGCTTAGTTTGCCAAATGCCTGCCAACCACATTTAACACACCATTCAATTTCCTTTTTTATATCACTTTCCACTGAGATCCGTTAGCCAAGATATATGTAGTAAAAAATAAAAAAATAAAAACATTAAACAGAGTATTAAAACTGAGAAACTATATCAAAAAAGCTATAAGAAGATGATCCATATGAAAATTTCTAAGATGGGATGAGTAGTCTGTAGCTATACTGATATTGCTGAATTCTTAATACCCAGAAGCCCCAGCTGATGTGGATAATGAAACAAGATGATAGGCATTGTTAACAACCAGCAGAACATAGATTCCCAGCTCTATAGAATGTTTAGCTCACTTTTATCAGTGTGGCTCAAATTACAGATCTATCCTTTTTTAGAAGGACAATATTGTTGCAAGATTGTTGTGGAGAATTCATCTTCCCCAACTCCATCTGCTGTAGTACTTAGTGATACAGCAGGCTACAGAAACTGGGATTGGAAATGCAATACCCATAATCTGCAGTTCTCTTGATGATGTGTCAACTGTTCAGAGTTTTAAGTGCAAGCTATTGCATATGGATGGCCAGGATTATGCAGGGATATGGTTTATCCCCTGTCTTCTGTCTTCCCAAACTAACTATACTAATCTTGGTGTGGCATTAAATTTACCTTGTCTCCTTGTATTGGGAGATTTCAGCATTGGGGGTGCTCAGTTCAAAGTGATTTAAAAAGTCATCTTCTCTGATCATCATGGTCTGTCTCAACAACTGTTTCACATTCCACATATCAATCCGTGCACACACTAGATGTGATACTCTTTTTGGGTAGATTTGATGATCCAAAAGTGAGGAGTCCTGCATGTTAGGACAAATTACTCCCTGGTCAATGCAAGCCACAACAAAATATTGATTAAAATAGTCCAGGCCAGGTAACTGATGAGTAATGAGTTTGAAAGGGAAGACAACTGTCATTAAATCAAGACAAAACACAGTGCTGTTGATAAATAGGAAAGTGGACTCAGAGATTGAAATTATAATTTGGATAAAGTGGCGCTGTCTTCAAACAGCACAGTTCAGAGTCAGGGCATACTCTGTGACCCTGAACACTTAACTGGACATGGTTGTGATCAGAATGGTTTCCATACATTTACTCATTACACACCTGTGCAATCATTATTGTACCAGGCACATTTCACTAGTTTTCTATACCTTGCTGATAATGATATTATGACTACACAAAATATTCCCTGTAGGCTATGCTTGCAAATTGTCTGGAAGGTGCAGTTGATGTTAAATAGAATGATTTGGCCACTAACCAATGAAAGGGATAGGGATTGTTTACCTGTATTGAAAAGATATGCAGTGGTTGCACAATTTGAATTGCTGGGGCTTAAAGGAAAGGATTGTCCTCATTTTACAAATCTGTCTCAGTCCTGTTTTCAGTGCTACAGGAGTGGTTGTTTTGAAAATGCCCCCTCTGCTTAATGCCCCCCCCCCTTTTCTGGCACACAAGAGAGGATTTTCTCATGTTCCAAGAGTAAGGAACATATTTCCTTGGAGCCGACATTTGCTCCCTCTTTTAGTACTTAGGCTTTTAGTGGTTAATTTTAGTGCAAAGAGTTTGTATTGATTTTTGTTTTTAAAATTGTATGTTTTGCTTTTGCTTTTAAATCCTGTCAGCTGCCTTGAATATGTGCAGAATAGAAAGGTGAAGAAGAAATTAATTCTATTAACAAATTATAATTTTCATTGATTTAGATCATAAGCTAACTTTTATTTCCAAAACTAATTTTTGCCTAGGAAAAATTAATATGAAATCTGAGAATATAACCAGAAAAACTGAATGTAAATCGAAGGAAAAGTTGCAACACCTTATTTCAGACACTGAAGAAAATTACTCTGAATTAATCATTAAAGATATTTGCAAAAAGAGAGCCACTGTTATGCTGACCCCTCTGGAAAAGAAAAGAATGCAAGAAAAGCAGCACTCCAACAGGAGACCCAGAAATGAGCTAAATGTGACTAAGGAGGGTGGGCACATTACTTGCTATGAAAGAAACTTGGCTGATGGAGAGTTAGACACTTTCAACTGCCCATTAAATTTGTTGAAACAACATCAACAAATTGAGAAAGTTGTGGGAAGTGTTTCTTGCACAGATGAAGATGAATCTAGTGAAGATATCCCGTGTATTAAAAGGAAAACACAGCATTCTTTCAAAAGAGAAATATCCCACAAGGAATGTAATAATACACAAGAATTATCATGTGAGCAAAAAAGTACAGAGAATTGGATAGCACCTTCTCGGAGCAGAAAGACAAAATGTTCTTACTTTGGCCAGGAGGACACCCTGGAAGAATTAAGTAACAAGAATTCTTCTCCTGACTTGGGTACCAATTCTGAGCTAAGGAAAAGGAATAGACAAAAGTCATCAAAGTGGTTCAAGAAAGCCAGAAGGAATGCTCTTGCATCAGAGACTGAAAGTGAAAACAGCATAGAGGAAATTCCTGTGAAAGAAAGTAGGATAAAAATACCTACCAAGAAAACTAATGGTCACATTTCAACTATTCCAAAAGCCTGTCCTGTGACTGGAAAGCCGGACAACCAGAAAAAGTTAGGAAATGCTATGGAGTCTTTTCCAGACACTAATGAAAACTGGACTGAAGAAGAATTGCAAAAGTTGCACAGGCAAGTAGGGATGGTCTGACCATAATTTTCCCTTGTGCTGTAAGATGCTGTCTGTAACTCTGTGACTCACAGAGCTTTTCTAATGCAAAGATAACAAAATCCGATTCTATATTAGGGAACAAAATTATTTGTAAGCTTTATTTTTCTAATTTCCTACCCAATTCTGCAAATGATTTTCCTCCTTTACAACTCCCAACTTTTTTTGCAAATTTCTGATCTCTTCTTCTCTCTTCTACCTCCTCCCCTTTTAGATTCTATATAGAGTCTAACTTTCATAGTGTGAGCACCAAAGTTATAACATAATGTGCTTCACCGAATCCTTCATATTTTTATAGGGCAGTGGAATCTTTTCCTAAACACAAAAGTGATTTCTGGTTGGATGTGGCAAAGACTGTGAGAACGCGATCTGCTGAAGAATGCCAGCAAAAATACATGGCAAAGCAGGAAGGGAGAAAACGCCCCCCAAACAAGACCACCAAGCCTGGAAAAAAGGAAGAAAGAGGTACAAGTCTTGACCTCTTCCCTGTCTTCTTCCATGCAAAGCCAGACACATTTCAAGATTCCCATTCTGGGAGTATGGAATTGTTGGGATCTGGGTAGACTTTCAGCAAAAGCATAGCATTTTTCTAATTTGTTTAGGGGTGCAGTTGAATTTTGCAAAATTAGGAAAGCACTTTTCTGTTTTAAGATGAATAAAGGCTGTTTTTTGAATCTGTACTTGAGAATATTAGGAGAAATTTTCAGAATTTTGGGAAGAGATACTCAGGTAGAAATAGAATGCTTATGTATATCATTGTTTACTTGTTGGAAAATATGGCTATGTACCAACTAAAATGGTTTGATGAACCTGTATGTGTATGGTGTTGTTTAAACATAATTAGTGTAAGGGCTGAACAAAATTCCAATCTAAAAATTCAGGTTAATGAAAGTAATAGGCTTTTTAAGTGGCTTCTCACCTTTGTCTACAATTTCCATCCTCTTGCAAAAATAGAATTTCCATGTTAGTTTGTATCATTCTTGCTGGTAGATAGGGGAACACAACAGCCGTTGGCAAAAGTGGGAACCCTGAAAAGGAAACAGCAGATGCGGAACTTCCTTGAACAGATGCCCAAGGATAACCATGATGACATCTTTGCTTCAACACCTTTTCAAAATAAGAACACGAAAGTAAATACCACATCTGTTGTTCATATTAGAATATTTCTACCAGGGATCCATCAGACAGGGCTTACTAAGCATGGTAGAAATGATCATAACAAGCTGGAAAGTTGTTTTCCTGGGCTTGGATGGTGGGAAATAAATTCATTCTTGATTTTGTGCTGGTCTTCAGAAATACATTTATAGGAATCATAGCTTATGTCTAGATCTTAAGATCAGTCCAAAATGTATATATCCATACAACAGACATTTTCTAAAATATCTGATATCCATTGGGATTCTAGCTATTGCAGAGAGTTACTAATACACTGTTAGTTGCAGGTAGCTAGAAGAAGGTACAAAAGAAAGAAAATATAGAAAAATTGTACTCCTCTATTACTTTACTCTGCTTTTCTAAATGTTATTCTCCAGAATTCAGTCCATCTATAGCAGCAAATATTTGGTCCTTATCTGAGAGATATTTTTTTTAAAAAAAAAAACTTAAAGTTTTAAAAAATAGTTTTTTAGTTTAATGTTGTAGACTTATTAGACTAGGCATCTGTCTTTTCCATTTGCTTATGTTTTACTCAACTTTCTGTCTGCTTCTGGGCCTTTTCCCCTTAAAAATTTTCAGAACCATGAAACTCTCACAGGTTTACAATTATTACCCTACTTACATAATTCCTCCTGTCAATAAGACCCACCTCATGTATTGAAACTATATTACTTTCACATAAATAACTAAAAATTATATCACCACCTTAATTATGGGTGATTTATAATAATTGCATCATCTTCTAATGGGGAAAATGAAATTGAATGTAGGCAACATGAGAAAGATGCTCTTGGTTGGGGATAATATGGTAAACTTACAGCAAACACCTTCTCTTTCTGGGGATAACCAAGATATGATCTGTAGTTGCCGCAGTTCTACGTGGCCCCAGAGGAAGATGTTTTCCAGTTGAAAGACAGACATCCTATTACACCTGCTTCAGCTATTTTCCCTTGGGTGAAGACACCCCAATGTGACCATGTCAGCCCTGGCATGCTGGAATCTCTAGATAGGTAGGTACTCTGGATAGATTCTATTCATGATTTTAAACAGCAAAAGTAACTGCTTCTTATGAGCAGAAATTATTATAGGTTCACTGAGGTCACTGCTGACAAGTGTGTAAAATTCACACATACAGTAAATACACCATTCCAACAATAAAGATAGGACTGAGTCAAACAACAGGGGTGTTGAATTATGTGGACATTTAAGCATTCTGGAACATGCTGTTTTGGGGTGGGGGACAAATGTAGGAAAAGAAATACTGAAAAGAAGGATATTGGACAACAGATCTTGTGTGGGGGGGTAAAATAAGTAGCTGGTACTGCTACAGCCTGACAATAAGCAAAATAGATCTTGCTTCTTGAGAGTAAGCGAGACAAATTCACATATACAAATTCTCCATTGAAATTGTTTTTTTATTTTAGGAAAAACTGGGAAAAACATGTCTTCCACATGCAAAATAATATCAAAGGCAAGGAACGCACATGGCTGAATGTAAAGAAGAAATCGGTAATGCCTTTCCTTCATTTATCATCTACAAAGACAAATTAGATTCCTGCATTCTTTTAAAAAAAAGCTATTCATAGGACCAGGTTATGTTCTTGGTAACTACATTTTTTTTTCGCTGAATAAATAAAAATAGCTGTCAAATCCATTTCAGAAGCAAACAACTTTATTAACAGCTAAAAATTGGAAATGGAACCTGAAAAAAATTAGAGAGATGAGGCAGTCAAGATCAAGAGCCAACTAAGTTTCTTAATTAACCTCATCAGAGGACCTTTGTGGCTCTGAGGTATGTTGAACCACAGATGTCCCTATTCAAAAGGACAATTCATAAAGCCATTTCCCAGCAACAAGCTGTTTTGCTATTTAATCACAGCCTTGAAAAAAAAATTGGTTCTTGGCTGGTTCCTACTGACTGACTAACCTAATCTAGAAATTTTAGCATCTCCTTCCTCTTCCTGCATATAGTATCTGGGAACGTCGCATGGCAGGATTACAGAGCTGGAGCATGAAATGCGTATTCCACGGCTTTAAGATTTATCAAATCTAAACTGCAGCCTAGTGTCCTTGGCTTGTTTGTTTTGCCACAAAGCTTTTCTGCAAGCATTTTGCTTGTAGGAAGTAATATATCTTTTGTTTCCATCAGGCTGTGACAGGGTTCACTACTTCCATGTCTCCGAGAACAAATGTCTTTACTTTTGAAGGTAGGCAGGCCTCTTTCACTTGCTTTATACAATGTTGTCAGGATTTAGGATTAGACTTGGAGTGCCCAATATGGTAGGCACCATCAATGCAGTTAGTTCTCAATTTACAGTTATGCATTTAGTGACTGTTCAACATAATGGCATGGAAAGAAGTGACTTACAACTGGTCCTTGCGCTTACGACTGTCACAGTATCTCCAGCGTCACGTAACCAAAATCTGAGTGCTTGGCAAACAGTATTTATCACACTTGTGGCATCCTCAGTCATGTGATCACTGTCTGTGACCTTCCCAACAAGAAAAGAAAAATCAATGGGGAGAAGTCAGATTCATTTAACAACCACATGATTCACTTATCGACTGCTGTGATTCGTTTAACAACCAGGGCAAAAAAGTTGAAATTGGTTGTGGCTCCCTGAACTTGCTCACTCCTTGCTTACCAATGGACGTGCAAGTCTCGATTCTGGTCACTGTGCCCCGAGTTCTTTAAAAAAAATTTTAAAAAAATCATGTTAACAAAACTGGAAACCTTCAGATTGCAAAATAAAAGGTATATCATTAATAGAGATGTTTTATGAATAGGCAAGCATCCTATTTGCAATTTGTTCTCAAAATTCAGAGTGTTTCTCAGAAAAAGGTTGGGGATTTCTGGGCTGGATAATCCCAAGAGCTTTCTCATTATCTTTGCCAAATGAAGGAAAGGAGGTTCTTGGCCTGATACATAGCAGCTTCCTCCTGTGAGAGGTTCCAGAGAAATTTCTGTGCATGATATGAATATGAGGATAGTACAGGTAGTCCTTGACTTACGACCTCAATTGAGCTCAACATTTCTGCTAAGCAAGACATTTGTTAAGTGAATTTTGCCCCATTTTACCATCTTTCTTGCCACAGTTGTTAAATAAATCAGTGCAGTTGTTAAATTAGTAACACGGTTAAGTGAATCCAGCTTCCCCATTGACTTTGCTTGTCAGAAGCTCACAAAAGGTGATCACATGAACCCGGGACACTGCAACGGTCATAAATATGAGTTCAGTTGCCAAGCATCCAAATTTTGATCATGGGACCATGGGGATGGCTCAGTGGTTAAGTATGAAAACAGTCACAAGTCACTTTTTTCAGTGCCATCATGACTTCAAACGATCATTTAATGAACTTTTGTAAGCAGAGCACTACCTGTATCAAATGAAGGGCTGGAAGTAGTGGTCTACAAAGGAAGCTGCCTGCTGCATGTATGAGCGACATTGCAGTATGCAGTAGTGAACACGGCATGTTTCAGGATTTGTAATTGGAAAGTATTTTCTTCTGCACCATTCATTTGCCAAACCTTAACATGAAGCCAGCAGACCAAGCAGCTCATGAGGTTCAGTGACTGCCTAGTTAAGAATTAGTTCCAGATTTAGGCACCCAATTTTACTACTTGTATTTTCCCAAGTATATTTCCCAGAGTGGGAAATCTCAATTTTAAATGTAGATATTCAGAAATTGAAATCCATAATTATGAATGCTTGATTGCATTATAGTAATTTCTGTATATTTGTTAAAAGGTAAAATAATCCTGACTCTTGGGATTCTGAATATCTATGCATATGGTTTGCCATATTCTTTTTAACTTAATTGGTTTGGGGTGGGTTTTCATGCAGTATAGAATTTCTCTCCAGGATAAGTTGAGCCTTTGATATTGGCTATAAGATTGTATCTGAGGATGGTATTGTATGGGACCACTTTGAATACCTGGGTTTTTTTTCTTACCTTGCTATAGATGCAACAACTTCTGATGGAGTGAGGAATCTCTTTGAAGTAGAAGAAGGAATACAGTCTGATGAAGAGGATGATATGTATTTTTCCACATAGCCAGTAGCTACCTGATCCAGAGCTAAAAATATTTTTAATAAACTGCAACCAATTGAGTTTTGATTTCAGTCTGTTTTGAGTTGAATTAAGTTGTTCCCCAGTTCTGTGCTCTCAAGTATTCAGAATAGGGAAAAATCTACCATACACACTTAGATTTCTTTTTTAGAAGATGTGATGTGCAATTTATATAAAGAGATAGCTGTGGTAATTACCCTTTTTAATGAAAGTAAAATAATGTTTTTAAAAGTTACTTGTACAATAAATTCAAGAGCATTGTTTGTAATAGCAAAAATTTCTTATGTTTTCTGTTCCAACAGCAGTGCTTATGTATTTTTGTATTAAACTTTCTTAGTGCCTTTTAAATGTTTTTGATACCCTTTTAATTTGGCAGTTACAGTGAAACTGGATACATAAAATATAACCACGAACATGTATTAGCCCAATGTATGGTTAGTTTGTGTCTGGTGTGTTCTGTGAACCAAGACCAATGAGTTCAATAAATCTGGAATAATACATTATGTAAACACAGTTACTCTATCAATGTATAAGCTGGTAGTATTACATTCTTAACAATTTAGAGAGGAGAAAACTAGTAGAATAACTATTCCGAACTTTCTATTTAATGGCATAAGGTTTTCTGAAATTCTGCTGCCTCTTCCAATGAGTCAATAATAATCATTACATATACATACACGGATAACACTCTCAACCAGCATCTGCATACATATTACAACTTTTTAAAAACACTTTAAATACAGTAGCTACTGTACAGTACAAACAGCAGTGAGCCATTGTCACCGTAGGCAGTGGACAGGGAAGAGGGAAAATAATGTAAGAAGAAACAATCCTCTCATTAAGCCTTTTCTCATGGTTTTCTATTGAAAATAATTTTACTGTGAGTACTATATTGATGAATTTACTGCTTGAAATCGGTGTACATTTAACATCTGTGATTGGTTCTCATATACCATAGGAATTATTTCAAGTGCATAAATAACTTTCTTACATGGTAAAGAAAAACTTCCAGTGATAAGGTAGGACACTAACGGTGAACTAAAATTACAGACCTCTGCTGCAAAAGCCAGAATGTCCAGGACAGCAAAGGAACCCCAAACTCTGCTGTCATCCACTTGTCTGAAATGTTTCAATATATATAGACTTATGCTGTACTAGCCTCTTCCTCGACTGAGAAATACTGGGTGAGACAGTGTCCTCTTGCAGTGATGTATTTATCACTGCCTGAATCCATCTGGAGGTCCCCATTCTGGAGGCGCTCACCACCCAGGGGGACAAGGATTTAATTGACGGGTACAGGCAGTCCTCGACTTAACAACGGTTCGTTTAGTGACCATTCAAAAGGACAATGGCATTGAAAAATGTGATCTATAACCTTTTTCACACTTATGATCATTGTGACATTTCCATGGTCACAATGGTCAGAAGCTTGGCATTTAACTCACATTTATGACGGTTGCAGTGTCGGGTCCTGTGATCACCTTTTGCAATGTTTTGACAAGTAAAGTTAATGGGGAAGCCAGATTCACTTAACAACTGTGCTACTAATGTAACAATTGCAGTGATTCGCTTAAAAAATGTCTCACTTAAGAAATTTTGGGCTTAATTGTGGTTGTAGGTTGAGGACTACTTGTAGTTGCACTGACAGCATCGAGGGTTCTGTCTATCTCATCAGGTCCAACAGGATCAAACTGTTCCCAGATAATCAGGTAAGGCCAATCCAGAGGCATCTCTAATGGACCTTCCGCTCATTTGGATTCTTACTGAGAATATGTCTGTTCTCCGATTTCACAGAATGAAACCTTGAATGCTCAAAATCTTTTAAAGCATGTATTAAGTAACCCTACACATTTGCTTACATTCCCAAACCTACAGATGTATACTTATAAGAGCTTTAAAGAAAAGTCCTTCATTTTTGGAGCAAGTTCTGGCTAAGCTAGCAATATTTACTATTAATGGCTGTAACAGTTCACTGACCCAGTAATTACACTTTGCTTCTAGGCAGTTTTTACAGTAAAATCTCTCAATGTTTTTAAAAACCTAAGGGACAGAAAAGCACAAGTTAGAAACAGCTTTCTCTATACTACATGGCAGACCAGATGCACAGTCCAATTAATTTTTACTTATTGAGAAAATTGCTTGTGGTTTCCTAATTTCTTTGTTCTATCTTTTCTGTTTTCTTAATGTTATCTTAATGAGAATTTCAATAAGGCATTTGATGGTTAGCTCTTCCACATGGTGGAAAGAGACCTTGGGAAAAGAAATAGGCAAAATACGGAGTGCAATTTGTTCCTCAAGCCTATAACGAAGGATCTATGGGAAGGAAATCAAGCCTTCCCACCATTTATAAGAGCAAATGGTTAAAAACTATCTTTCAAGTCATTGGCTGTTGTTTCCTTGTGCAGGACAAAAGATAAGATATTGCAATGGACTCAATACACAATAAAATGTGGGGAAAGTTTCAGGCTTTTCAGATGAACATCCCTTCCAGGATGCCAGAGATTTTCTTAAGTAAATGAAGGTGAATATATGTGTCTCAGGATAATGTTGCAGGATCCAATCTGGATTGGTCACCAGGATCAGAGGTTTTGTCTTCTGAGCTTTTGGACTTGTGCTGGAACTCATCCTCAAGGATTTTTGCTGTGTGCTTTGGCCTGTTCTGTGTGGTATTTATATGGTACCTGTTGTGTGTAGCTTTTTACATGTAGATTGAGGAGTTGATGGATGGCTATTAAGTTGTTGGCTGTTGTTTCCAAGTGCTGTCAAGCCCTTGCCTCCTAAGTACTTAATAAATTGGAGGTAGCCTCACATTGCAATAAATAAGGACATACATTCAATTATGCAGCTACTAACATTGTTGGACGATTAGGCACAAAAGCAGCCAGGTAAATGATTGAAGCCTGGCAAATGGGCCCCTCATCAATCAACAGGAGTGCTCCAGTTTATTAAGGACTTAGGAGGTGAGGGTTAGGCAGCACAAGGAAACAACAGCTAACAACTTAATAGCCATTCATCAATTCCCAATCTACATCTAAAACCCTACACACAACAGGTACCATATAAATAGCATATACAGAACAACCCAAAGCACACAGAAGTTCCCTGAGGATGGGCTCTGGGCACAAGTCCTAAAGCTCAGAAGACAAAACCTCTGGTCCTGGTGACAGACTCAGACTGGATCTTGCTTCTTAAATAATAAAAGATCCTTACCTCAAAGAGGTTGCTCCTTCCATCTGGATGCTAAAAAAGCAGAAACCAGCAGGGTGCCTGACTCTAGGAAATCCAGCTAAGTTTATTTTCTTGGAATTCCTAGAGGGTGGGTACACTTTGGAAGAACTGTCTGAATATTTAGGTGGCTTCTGTGGAAATTTGTTCCATAGAAAGGTGGGCATTATTGAGAAGGAGGGAGTCTTAACAGCTTTGCCTGTCAGTTCTCACTGGATGAGCAAAGTCAACCTGCAGAAGTGGGGCTAACAGATAATAATAATCTATTAGGAGTGTGATAAGGGCAAATGTAGTACATAGCTTCATAGACACTGCAGAAACACTGCAATACAATGATCTACACACTCGATCCTTATAGGCAGCACTATCAATGGTACAAAAATTGCTGAGAGATTCATCAGGATCTGAAGGATTACATTCTCTCTTCCTGATCTTGCTAAATGAAGGTATGCTCCAGTCGCCCAAGATCTAAAGTCTCGGAATTCCAACACCTGCTCAGGAGGAGATGAAGCTCTGCAGAAGGGACACTAATACAACAATAGCAACTCTATGTCCCCTAACCACTGATTCACTGCTGAGTGTACTTTCTTATTGCTACCATGGTTCTCAATAGGAATTTTAGAAATGTATTTTTAAAACTTCAACTTCTTGATCAACTTTGCTGATTTAGGGTGACTGGTTGTATCGACTAGTACTCTATCTGTTTCTGTAGTTTTAGAAGAAAAGCAAGGGCACTCCTGCTCTTATAAAGATCATTCAACGCAGTCTGAAGTTTGTTCCATCAGTACACTCAAAAAATTTCCCAAAAAAATCTGAATGAAGCTGTTTTATTCCACGTTTAAAATTAAACCTTTTTATGTCCATGTCATGCAGATTGCAGATATAAGGCAAGTGAAAGAGATCCTTTGCAACACACATGAGTAAAGCACTTTTGCCCAAAACCCACAACCACATAAACCAACCACAACCAAGGTTCAGGATAGCTGCTTCAAAGGCTTTTTCTTGGTTGTTTCCACAGCTTTCCAGACCATATGGCTACTTCAACATTTTGAGGAGTGCTTCACTGACATGAATGTAGTACTTCAAAGTAGAACACTTTGAAGAATAGCTAATATACATCCCCATAAAGAAGACAGTTATGTGCATTTGACAAATTTTAGCAATCCCTCTTTCTTTTTACATCTTCCTCTCTGAGTATCTACAGTATAGCTGGAACAGGAGGACAACATGGATGGTTTTCACAGTATCAAACCTTTATATTTTAATTGGGAAAAACACCTGCCTTCAGAAGCAAGAGAAGGTGGAAAGATGGAGTAAGGAGCCTGTATTAAGGAAAGACACACTGGCTACTTCTATAGAGGAACAAGGCAGCTTGCAATACAGAGACTCGTTTTGTTTGGAATTTTATTTACATATCTTACACTGAAGGAATGTAGTAATAAAGTGCTTCTGCTTAAAAGGGATGTCCCACTTTGATTTATAGAAGGTCATGTGACAATCTTGGGCAACATCTGCGTGTCAAAGGTGTAGTGGATGTAGCGGTACACTTCCTCTGCTTTCTGCTGATTGACCTGAGTGCGGCCTGCCATCTCCCTTGGGGTACTGCAAAGGAAGAAGGAAATGAAAACACAAAGGGGAAGAATATGAAAATTACTAAAACAGACAGGATAATCAGAGAGGTTCACAGAGTCTTAATGATAATTCCTGCCTGTGTGATTGGCTTATCTGGTCCTATAAATTCCTGTGGCTATCTCTATTTACATTTAATTTAATTTTAATCTAAGTGGTCACCCATCCTGACTCTGGATGGCATATAAACATCGTATAAAATAACATCAGAATGAATGACATACAATCTTTCTAAGCTATCAAAGCTTATAAATGCGAAAATACTCAACTAGACTTTCAGAGGAATGAGAGTCACTTTATACTTCCCTTCTCCCCCCCCCAATACAACAGTTCCGAATGCATTAACATTGGATGAATCAGAACTTTCTGAAGAAAAAATGGCTTTTACCACGACAGCTTCACAAATTTGACAGATTTGAAAGTGAAAAACAAAAAAATCAACCTATCTGTTTATATCCAGTGAAGGGTTGAAATCAGAACAAGCAAAGGGGAACTGTACCTGTTTGCCATCTCTTTTAAAGAACCAAAATGGTGGCACAAAGCTAGAGCCAGTGTATAGCTGACACAGGGAATGGTCAAATAGAAACGGAAAACATCCTGTCGGGGTCCCTCCACTTCTGTTGGTACACGGATGGCTGCATTCTTCCGCTGTTCCACCAAAGCTAGTTCCTTTAGCAAGTCAGCAGTTTCCACTTGGCAGGCACTGAAGAGCACTTTGATTCCTGCCTGGATGAATGCTGATAACATGCCGTCATAGTGCTTGGTTCTATGGAACACCCTCCACGCCTCTCCTGAAAGATTGAAAGACAGAAGAAATTCAACATTTCTCATGCGACGGCACAACACACTTATGCATGAACAAGGTAATGATATTTTAGCCTAGTCTTTTGTGAAGGCCCAGTTCCTATGATTAGCTTATAGTTCAGTTTATTATGTGAGTACGTAAAACCTGAGTTAAGCAAACCATGGTTAAGCAAAAATATATAAAAGAAGGAGCAACAGTAACCCAGCCCAAAATCAAATCAAATCTCAAACCAAATCTTATTATACCCAAAAGCCCATAAAATCAGTGAGATAAAACCTACATGTGTGTGCACATGTGCACGCGCACACACACACACACACACACACACACGTGTATGAATGTAGGTTTTATATCATTGATTTTCTGTGTATATTTTACTGACAGTAAAATATAATGTAAGATATATAACAAACAACAGAATCAGGATACAAAGTAGGGAATACAATAACTGTAAAATAAAATACAAATAAATAAACAAAAGCCAAAATCTTCAGCTACAAACAAAGTGAGAACAAATACAGTAACTTGAGAGAATATACAACTCCCTGTTAAAGTTTGAATGTCTGGATAAAAATGCTTTCACAGCTTTGAAAAAAATCAGGAATGATAGAAAAGGCACACCTTTAATGACAAAATATTCCAAAAGTGATAAGTCTGTCACAGAAAAGGACTTTATTCTGATCCACAATCTGCTCATCTCAGAACAGAATAACAGAGTTGGAAAGGACCCTCAAGGTCATCTAGTCCAACCCCCTGCTCAGGCAGGAAACCCTATACCATTTCAGACAAATGTTGTCCAGTCTCTTCTTAAAAACTTCCAGTGTTGGAGCATTCACAGCTTCTGGAGGCAGGTTGTTTCACTGGTTAATTGTTCTAACTGTCAGGAACTGTCCTTAGTTCTAGGTTGCTTCTCTCCTTGATTAGTTTCCACCCGTTGCTTCTTGTCCTACCTTCAGGTACTTTGGAGAATAGCTTGGCTCTCTCTTCGTGTAAGCCCCTGAGATATTGGAAGACTGCTATCATATCACTCCTAGCCCTTCTTTTCAATAAATTAGATATACCAAATTCCTGCAACTTTCCTTCATGTTTTAGCCTCCAATCCCCTAATAATCTTTGTTGCTCTTTTCTGTACTCTTTCTAGAGCAGGGGTGTCAAACTGCCGGCCCATGGGCTGGACGTGTCACGTCAAAACCTTGCCCACCCTATTGCCAGCAATAGGGAAAAAGTTCCGATACATTACACAACATCACGTGATGTCGCATGTTTGACATGTCTGTTCTAGTCTCAATATCTTTTTTACATTGTGGTGACGAAAACTGGATGCAGTATTCCAAGTATAGTCTTATCAAGGCATTGTTACATGGTCTTTATTCTATCCCTGTTAATGCAGCCTAGGACCGCGTTGGCTTTTTTGGCAACTGCGGCACACTGCTAGCTTAAAGAGGCAGGACCGTGATGTAATTCTCTTGCTCCTTCCCAGTTTGTAATTCTGTTTCAAGTCCCACCTTCATCCCCTTGTGAAATATGGCTTTTCTTTCCTATTAACAATTAATCTCATAACTAGTAAACGTGAAAAATTGCACCTGAAGAACAGTTGAGTGCCTGTGGCAGACTTGCCAGACAAGATACCAACCTGTCCTAATTCTTTCCTTCTCCACAATTATGCAGATCCTATCAAACTTGTTTTTCAGCTGCTGCATCCTCTGGACCATTTTACTCTGATGTATGTTGTTGACCAATTCTGTCTGGCACTTTCTTTCCACTGCCAGACGGTTGCTGACAATATAATCACAGGAACCTAGAGAACAAATTTCAACCTTGACTCCGTGAACAGTTTTCAGGGTTGAAATAACTTCTGGCCCAGAGGAAATCTCATGGTTATCCACCAGAATGCACAGAGGCGCTGCTTTCTTTGAATTCCTTAGAGTCCAAGAGGAGGAGGAGGAGGAAGAAGAGAATCCAGGAAAGTTCTCCAAAAACGTTTCTGGCTGCAAAGATCATGACATCGTATCAGTCAGCAGGCTTAGAACATCTAAAAAAAAACACTGGGGAACAGTCTTTTAGCATTTGTATCGTGTCAATCAAAGTACCTATTGCCTGCAGAATTACACAGAAAACACAGATCACAGTTGTCTATGGAGATTCTCAACCATCCAGATAATGGTTGCCCCAAAAGTGCTTTTTCCAAATTTTAAAATTTAAAAATGCAGGTCACAATTACTGATTAAAGACACATTACTGGAAAAACGTTTGGGATGTTGGGAGGAAAAATGTTATGTCCATATATGTTCCTTTTGTTAAATGTATAACCTTCTGTAATCTCATAGATCCACATGGTTGGAACAGGTCTTATAGCTTCAGCTTGAACGATGCTAATTAAGAACAGTCCACCTCTTATTTGGATAACTGTTCTCTGCTGAACCCTTACTCTTAGAAAGTTTCCCCCACTTCATTTGGAATTTGCCTTCCGGAATTTAAATGTTATTCTATGTTCTGTGTTCTGGAACCAGAGAAATAATTTTTGATCTTTTTTTTGTGACAAGCTTTCAGGTACATGATTGTACTATATTCCTCTTTAATCATCTTTTCTCAAGGCTAAACTTATCTAGATCCTTCATTTTCTCTTTGTAGCTCTGTTTCTAGTTCCTTGACTAATTTTTTTGTCATTTGTCATTGTCATGTTTCAATTTCTTACCGTTACCATGGTATCTAGAATTGGATTTAACAGTCAAGGCTGGTCTGACTACTGCAGAATGAGGAGATAGACTAACTTGTCTGACACAGCATACTATGCTAATAATACAGCAGAATTACAATGAGGAGAAATCTATTAAATCATTTACTGAAGATTCTCAAGAGAAATGTGGCAAAGGCCTAAATCAATCATTTTTAAAGTTTTCTCCTGACTTCTTAGTTTCACTATTCCAAGACATCCACAAAAGAAGCAGTAATTTTTTTTAAAAAAACAGTCTTATCTTCAGCATAATCTGCAACTGTTCACCCACAAGCTCTGATTTGCACTGATCTTTGCTTTGAGGATGAAAATCTGATTGTTCTGACAAAGATATGTTTGTATCCAAGCATACCTTAGCATGGCTTTCTTGGGGTTTTGTAACTGAGCATTTTTGGTGAAGAGTTTGATCCTTAGTTAAGGAAGTAATATTACAATCCTTATCAACTTTAGCACTGACTCGTGATTCCATCTGCTCTTCATTTTTATCAGTCTCCTCATCTTCACTAGATCTGTTAAGAATTCGAACCCTAGTTAATCTCTTTGGGAGGAATGGACCTTTTGTTTTCAGTTTCACATGGCCTGCTTTCATTTTTTTCCTGTGCCGGGTTTGGTACTGTTTTCTCCCATTCACAAAGCTTTCTTCCCCTAAAAGGTCAAAATTGATGCACAGATCTTCATCACTGGAACTGCTGTTGGGGTTATCCTCTTCATTGTCCTCAACACAGAAACTGTCCTCTATGTAGCATTCATCTTGCTCTGGAATCTGAGAAGAAAGAAGACAAATCCTGACAAATTCCCATGCCTCATGAAAAAAAGGAAGCAAAACTAACGGTTATAATTAGACACTATCAGTAATATTTTGGTTATACAGTACATGGTTCCTGGCCATTACTGATCCAAACTCAAGAGTTTTGGCACTTCAAAAGAAAACTGCTTTATTTCATTATGCATCTAAAAGTACATTAAAATCTTCCAACATAAAACCTTTTCTTGATGCCTGGCCTATCGTGTTAGTAGTTCATCCTCTCTCAGTGATGGAACTTGTACATTTACCCTACTTTGTTGACTTCTGACAGCTTAAAAAGTGTTTATGTGCTTTTATCTAGTTTTTGTCTGATTTCACAAACTTAAACAGAGAGAAACCCAGTTAATACTTGGATGGGAGGGCCTAAGGATGTGTCCATGAAGTCATCAAGAAATGAAAGTCAAGGTTTTGCCTTTGCATATGTCAGGCTTTTTGCCAGTTGCCTAAGACCGAACAGGATTTGTTTCTAAATATGATTCTTAGTTCTCTTTAGCAAGATTTATTATGATGAAAGGGGTAGTGGCACAAAAATATAAGCAAGTATGCTAGTTTCAGTTGTTTCGTTTTAGAACCAATTTATCTCCAGGTATACTACAGTACCAATTTTTTTGATTCTCTTTCTTGCAGCCTTCCTGTTATCTGATGAGGAGGCATTTCTCTTCATATGGAAGATTGCAACCCCCTGATGTTCTTAGGAATATTGTATTGGAATTTATCGGAAATAATCAGCACTTTGAGGTAAGTCCAGAAGTCTATTGGCAACCAATACAACAACTGCAGTATCCATGTTACTCTAGACCAGTTGGTTCTCAACCTTTTTAATGCCGCGACCCCCAACCGGTCGTAAGTCGAGGACTACCCAACTGGTCGTAAGTCGAGGACTACCCAACCGGCCGCAAGTCGAGGACTTTCCCTGCCCAGGAGTGCCGCGCATGCGTGGTGCCTCCCCCTGTGCCGGCCGAGGCGTAGCTGGCAAGCGGCAGAGACGGAGCAGGCCGACCACCGGCTGGGCCACCAGCTGGCCCAGCCCAAGGGAGGTAAGGCACCCACCGGGCCCCACGCGTGCCAGCAACCCTCCCTGCGCCCGCCGGCCTCCCACCTCCCACCCCTGGCCCTCTTTTACTTACATTTTTAGTAGTTGCTCAGCAGGGAGGGGTGGAAACTTCCAGACAGCTCGCCTTCGCTGCAGACAACTTGCAGCACCGTTTGCAGAATGGGAGTTTTGGCGGGCTCAGCAGGGCAGAGACAGCCTGGACAATTCCTATTGGCTTTTGAAAGCCAATAGAATTAGACTCTATTCAAGAGATCTATTCTATTGGCTTTCAAAAGCCAATAGAATAAAAGGGAGTAGCACAGCTAAGGAAAAGGGGGGAAAATGGCGGACTGCGTTGTTTGGCGACCCCCGTGAAATGGTCGTTCAACCCCAAATGGGGCCGCGACCCACAGGTTGAGAACCGCTGCTCTAGACTAGCAGATTTCTGCTGCTATCAACTGCGTTACTCTATTTTATACCTGCTATAGTTTCCTACTAATCTTTAAAACCCCGTGACCTTGTGATATAAAGGTGTTACTTACCACTGACAAGTCTTAACAGCTCAGGTAGGCTTGTAAAAAAATCCTTAAAATATTCTCACTTGTGATAGTTGCATTTGGATTATTTTGCTTATTTTTTTATTAAGTAAACCCTCACTCTGATAATGTTCTTTACAATAAAATAATATCTAGGCATTTCAAAGCATTTGCAGGTTCAGACCAATTTGTGATGTGGTTCCATTTATTACAGTATCACTTTGTCTGACTTTTTTACCTGTGAGAAAACAGTTATTGGATTGTATTCTTTATGCACCATCTTATACTTGTTGCCAACAGCTGGACTGCAAACAGACTTCAGATAAACTGCCTGCATCTCAGATTCTATGTAGAAAAAAAAAATAGACTGTCAGACATAAAAGTAACGGAACCCGCACTCAATCTTGAATCTGTTCTTTCTGTTCAGGTGGAAAAAAATCTCCACATGATATAGCTAGTCCTCGACTTATGACCACAATTGAGCCCAAAATTTCTGTTGTTAAGTGAAACATTTGTTAAGTGTGTTTTGCCCCATTTTACATTTAACAGTTGTTAAGTGAATCACTGCAGTTGTAAAATTAGTAACATGGTTGTTAAATGAATCTGGCTTCCCCACTGACTTTGCTTGTCAGAAGGTCACAAAATGGGATCACATGACACGGGGACCATTGCAACCGTCACAAATATGAATCAGTTGCCAAGTATCTGAGTTTTGATCATTTGACCATGGGGATGCTGCAACAGTCCTAAGTGCGAAAAATGGTCGTAAGTCACATTTTTTTCAGTGCTGTTGTAACTTTAAATGGTCACAAAATGAACTGTTGTAAGTCGAGAACTACCTGTATTTTTTTTGTCATATAAAAGCTATAACCTTTAGAAAAAATGGATTCATTGCAACCCTCATTACACAAGTATCTCTGAAGGGTTCTGGAAGAGAAATGTCTAGCAGATTAAGAGCAGCTTCTTTCCAAGGAAAGTAGCATCTTCAGGTATTGGAGAGAGGAATTATCAAGAATACGATGGAAATTTTAACTCTCCTACCTCCATGCACACATATGGACATTGCTATATCAAAGTTAAAAACCAGGAGCAGGAGTGGAAATATGCTATTCATATCTTATCTAAGAAAGTTATTCATTGGACCAGATGCTCAAACACGGATAAGTTCAAACAGAATATCAACTGATTTGGGGGGGGGGGAGGATTTTTGCTACATACCATTTAAATCTTGAGTGATCTGCGTCTCATCATCAAGAAACTGAATAAGGGAAGAACTCAATTCACCTTCCAATTTTACACTCTCATCAGATGAAATTTCCACTCCATCTTCAGAAAGTTCTGCCTCCTCATCTATGAAGTGCTTTGCTAAATTCTACAGGATGCAAAAGAGAATTTTGGATACAATTCCGTTTCAAAGAATTCACTTTAGAACTGAAACATAAAACCCACTTAACAGATTGCTGTGAATTTCAATAATGGTAGACTGGCCAAAAAATACATCAGCTGGAACTAAGGATCTGTTTCCTAGGGGCTTATAGCAAATTACAGAGAAGGCCATGCTTAAACTCCAGCTGTTGTTTCATGAATCATTCTTGGGATCCACTAAGTTTTTAAAGTGTTTCAACTCCCAGCTGCCAAAGCTTCAAATTACTGAAATAGAAACTTATATTCACCAAAAGGAAAATAGGACTCTGACTACTTAACATACATTACTGTGCTGTACAAAAATCAATTAGACAGTTGGTTACTACTGTATATCAATATGTTAACTGCAGAGAATGTTCAGGTACTAACCTGCATGAATTAAGCTAGAATTCTCTCTCTCTCTGCCTGTCTTATCTGTCTGTCTGTCTGTCTGTCTATCTATCTATCATAAATGGAAAATTTCAGATGATGGCTTACTCCATTTGTACTAAAAACCACCTTTCCCCAGAAATCCATGTATTATGCATAATATGTTTAAAATGTTAGCTTGTTCCTGATTTCTTAAGGCTTGATTTGTCTGGTTGACATAACTTTCTCTTGACTGTGAATCTGATATAAATTTTCATTTTTTGCTGCTTAAATCACCAAAATAACTGTAGACAAAAGGACTCTTGCTAACCAAATCATGTTCATTCTGAATCATGCATATGATTCTAGAGGGGTTTTAATGTTACCAATTCAAAGGCAAAATATAGTAAGAAATAACATATTCAGAGAAGTCATCTTAATTAATTGTAACATTCTTACCTTGATCAGAAGTTTGTCTCCTTTCTTCTGCCTTTTCATATCTTGAACTGGCTTCTTGATATAGTTCTTTCTGTCATGAAACACTGGGCTTGATTTCTTAGCAAAATCTGTGCTTTCATCACTAGAGACATCTGACTAAAACATAATTGTTGTTTAAAATAACATCAAAATAACATTAAAAATAACTTTCCCATTATAAATGCATTTAGTGATGCAGGCAGGTTTAAAAATTAAACATTTCAGATGAAACTGGAATTTTTCTTATTAGGAATTATGGAAATTTAACTAGAAAAGGCTCATGAACAATTGGTTTTATACAGATAGTCCTTTACTTACATCCATTTTTAGCAAAATTTCCAAATGATGATGGTGCTAAAAAAAAAACCCTTCCCCAGTCTTCGCATCTATAACTATTGCAGTGAACCTGTGGTTATGTGATCAAAATTCAGCTGACATGTATTTACAGCATCCTGGGGTCATGTGATTGTCATTTGTGACCTTCTCAGCGATATGCTGACAAAATGACTGTGTGATTCACTTAACAATTGAGCAAAGTTATAAAATCAGGCATGATTCACTTAATGAATGCCTCATTTAGTAATAGAAGTTCCGGTCCATTGTGGTGGTAAGTAGAGGACTTTTTGTATATAGTAACTGCAGCAAGGTTATTGTAGATATAATAATAATAATAGATATAATAAAAGCACCAGTAATGGAGTGGATGAATTCTGAAGATGCTGAGTTTGCAGAATGGTTAAGCTGACTTATTTGATCAAGGAGGGAACTACAATTATTTTTATGAAAGCTAGAAACTCTTTATTGACTTTTTACTGAAAATGGATAAAAATAAACTGCTGATTTTGGAATTTATTCAGTGAAAAGCTTTGTTTGTGGGAAGAATAGAACTATGATATGCAATATGGGAGGATGGGGATGTTAATTGCTAAGTTTGTAACAGAAGATGAAATGTCATTCTTTAGATAGCTTTCTTTTTGTTATTCTTCACTTTTTCTTTTACTACTTTTTTAAAATCTTCTTCTATTTCAGCCATGTTTCTATAGTTTTTAAAATATTTGTAAAATCTTCTTTTAATAACAATTATTTTAAAAGATAGCCTTTTCATGTCTTCCAGTTTATATGTTCCCTCATACAGGTAGTTATTGAGTTATGAACGTCCACTTAATGAATATTCAAAATTATGACATTCCCCGCCAAAACTACTTACAACCAGGTCCCAAAGTTACGTATGTTGCAACATCACAGCGGTCCTTCGCACTTATGAATGATCCCAGAGACACTGCAACATGCTACTTTGACTGAGAGTCCCGAACTTCCCATGCTCGCCTCCTGTGCGGCCTTGGGTACTGGAGCCCTTGTCCAGCCAGGCAGGGAAACGCTGGGCCGGGCTCTCCCCTTCCCCGCTGAGCCCCAGCCTCTCACAAACGGGCGTGGCCCTGCCCTGCCACTTGCTGGAGTGCCGAACCAGCAAGAGTAGAATTGCTTAGGACTCCCTCTTGTATTTGGAAAAGGAGTGCTTTTGGCAAGCGAGGGGAGCAGGGCGGTGGCGTGCCAAGCTCTTCAGTTCCATGGCACTGCAATTTTTGAAACCCAGGCAGGTTCGGCACTCCAGCAAGTGGCAGGGCAGGGCCACGCCTACTTGTGAGAGAGATTGGGGCTCGTCAGGGAAGGGGAGAGCCCGGCCCGGCGCTTCTCTGCCTGCTGGACAAGGTGTCTGGCACCCAAGGCTGCACAGGTTAAGCGTGGGAAGTGTGGGGCTCTCAAATGTGGCACCAAAGATAAATTAGCAGCTATGTTGTATATAGTATATTTTAAATGTGTGTTATGTATGTGTACACTTGAGAGCAGGCAACTAAATTTCATTTTTAATGTGTGTCATTGGGCCCCCAGGAAAAAAAATGACAATAAAGGTTATCTGAATCTGAATTGATTTGGGGAGGGGGAAGGGAGGTGCCTTTGGGTCATTTTTGACTCTTGGCAACTCCCTGGACAAATCCATACATTTTTCATGGCAACATTTTAGAAATGATTTGTCTTCTTGGGGCTGAGAGAGAATGATGGGCTTTGTGTCTAAGGCAGGACTAGAACTCTCAGTCTCCTGGTTTCTGGTCTGCTGAGTATAACCACTACACCAAATTGGCTCTTGTTTGAACATTAGAAGACCTTGTATATTAAAAACATATAAAAACTAAAATATTCTGTCTTAGCAAACGAAGCAATCCCGCCAAGTTGATGGGCAACATAAAATTTAATTTTATTTAGATACGACTATTCAAGCCAAATTCAGCAACACATGTTTTAAGCACATTCTTTCTACACTAGTCAGAGAAGAAACTTACAGCAATGAGTGGACGTTTCCGTTTCTTGACAGCATGAATTGGTGATTCAAAGTCACAGTCACTAATCTAAGAAAGAATGAATAAATGAGTATCCATTAAGAAGTCTCTGAGAGGAATATTTGATTCACTTAAAATTGCTTAAGTATAGCTAAATTACTCACATCTGAAGTTCTCAAAATTTTTGTTTTTTTCTTTTTTTTATTGAGAGAAGAAAATTTTTCACCTTCACTGCTGTCTCCTACAGTGAAAAATTAATAAGAACCTGATTTTTTTTCAGCATACAATGAACTTGTTTAGACACAAAAAAATATACATTTCCATTTTTAAAAAATAAGTAAGGCAATTTCTTGTTTGCAGAAATTCTCTATCAACACAAAGTCCAGGCTAGTTAAGATGAAACTGAAGCTTAAGTTAAAACAATATTTCCCATCATGGGAACAAATTAAAAAGATGGGAAAGCATTAGTAAACCAGTTTTACTTACTGCACCTGGATATGACTGCTCTTCACATAAACTAGCCCTCTAGAACAAAATAGCATATTCAACTGAGTTTCTATATTTTGTTTCTCACCTATCTTCCTAATCAAGTGCATTATTCTTTATTTTGAGGAGGAAATAAAAATATACCAACAGTTCAGTCTGGTATAATATTTCAAAGGAGCAAATCAAATTTTGGTTATCAATCTTAGGACAGCTTTAAAATATTTCCAAGATTCATTATTTTACTTATAAATGCTTTTGTGTACATTTAAATGTACAAACCCAGCAACTGTACAGTCAGGAAATCTGCAGTAGTAAATATAAGGATCTTATATATTCTCACAGAAAGAAGATCACTTTAGCCAACCTAACAGTAAACATTTATAAATGTATCATATAGTGATTACATTTGCTACAAGCTGATCTTTAGCTGCATTACAGAGCATGTAAAAGGCTAGGCAGATGCTGAGCTGAAAACAGAATAAAGTAATGAGAACTATTCAACATCCCCAAAGCCCTCAGTCACTGGTTTCGTTAGGCCTCCTAAAGAGTGCAGATGCTCAAGGATATAGCTGCATCATTGTTCTTATACACACAATTATGCACTTGAAATCTTAACTTCCGCAGAAAGCCTGTTAAAATAATTTAGGTCTTCATTTTTGGTCTTACCAAGTTCATGGGATGGAAAATCCTCTACTCCAAAAGCTGATTTTGCCAAGACTTTAACTATGCTGGTGTTTGCTTTTCTTGAAACTCTCATATGTGAGCTTTCTTGATTATTTCTAGAGCAAGAACCATGAGAAGTTCTAATATGTATCATTTGTCCACCTGTGGGTGTGGAACACACAGTCTTTACATGGTTTGGTGACTGATAAAATCTCTGAGTTGCTGGTGTGAAAGGAGATGCCAAAGAAACAGCAGGGTCAATTGCTGCCAGACCAGGATCGTGGTTTTGCAAGTTTAATGGTGTAGAAGATTTAGTCACATTAAAACATTCATTACTAGTATATTTATTTACCGAGCTACTATTTGAGAAAGAGGTTTCAACCTTATTGGAATGACCAGGTGCAGAGCTCCCCTTATTTTTCATGGAGTTCATTTGCTCTAAGGCATCATCTTCTGACTCTTGAAAAGAAAATCCAAGATCAAAGTTAACAGAGAACAAATCCTCAGAAGCATCATATAGCGGCTCATAATCATGAGGATTTGCTTTGCTTCCATGATCAAGATCAGCAGAGACTTCTACTTTATCTCTACGTGGCGTCAATGATGTTATGGGACTTGTATTGCAAACAGAAACAAGTTGGTCAGAAAAATGCCATTCAGGGGTTCTTGCTTTGTTATTCTGCATGTTAGCCTGACCACACAAGCCAGGTAATTCTGAAGGTGCCCCCATTTTTTCAACTGATGGATGACTATTCTGTCCATGATTTCCCAATAAATGCATAGAACAATCTTCCTCAGGGTTTACATTCCGTCCAAATTGTTTGCATGTTTTTTCACAGCTTTTACCACTATCCCTTTTCAGAGAATCTAATGCTGGGCTATCATTTACTTTTGACAGTTTCTCCCCTTCAATTCCATTCTGTTGTTCAGTTTCAACTTCAAAAATGTCATCCCAGCTAAGATCATTCATACTGCTAATGAAGGTATCTGGAATATTATTCGTTTCCAAAGGATAGGTATCCACTGAACACAATTTACCATTGTTTAAGAGTTCACAGCTGTTCTGAGGAGAAATGGACACATTCTTGAAACATACACTTTTCTCTGGAATATTGTCTTTAGACTTGCTGGAAACCCATTGCTGTAATGAATCAAGCTCCATGCCTTCATTCACCCTCTTTTCCTCAGAAGCAAACCATTCATCCAGAGATGGTGGGGACTGTGACAGAAGTCTTGCTACATTCATCTGGATGTCTTTTCCCCAAGAAAGATTCTCATCAGCATTTGTTTCAGAAGATATAAACAAATCAATCTCTGGCACTGGGAGATAAAATAAAGATGAAAGATATGAATCATCTGCAAAACAGCCATAGCCAGAATCCACACACTGTCCATTTTGTACACAATTTTCAGGAGCAGGATGAATTATTTTTGTTATAGCATTTTCAGGATTAACACAAGTCCTTTCTTGAATACTTGTGTTGAGGGCTGGATCCATATTTTCTTGATTCTCATCTGCCGAACTTTTCTGTCCTGTAGCTTTAAGAAATGATGATAGGCTTGTTGAGAAGCAAGCTGAAATGCTGCCATCCTTTTTAGCATGAACTGCAGTTTCTACATCAATCACCTGAGGTCTTTTCGAGGATTTAAAATTGGCCACTTTAAACAGTGACATACATTCTGCATCAAATTCTTGTAAGGAATATTTTTCTTTTGCTGTAGCTGCTGTTTTTTTTCTAGATGATACTTTTTCAAGAGTTACGGTCTCACATCTTTTGCTGATCTGAACGTTTGATGCATCAACATCTTCCCAATGAAGATAAGGTTGGATTGCCAGCTCATAAGCACACTCTCCCTAGTTAAGATAATAAAGAAAAAAAACACTTTATTTTGGAAATTTACACATTTACATTCTTTACCTTCTGCATTATTGGCATTCACTAAGTTGCTGTTAGTTTACAGAATGGAATTTGATAGAAAAGAGGAAGTCTGTGGTACATTCAATGAAGCCACAATCATTTTAGGTAATTGATCTGAAATTCAAGGCCAATGCTCTCAACTTGAGCACCCTGATTTGCCTCTTCTTTTTGAATGTCACAAATCAGAATAGAAAGGGAGAAGTTGCATCACATTACTTTAATAAAAGTACATTTAGTCCTTGAGATACGACTATAATGGAGCCTGCTCATTAAGTTAAGTCATAAGGGTCTTATCCAGCCAACCATGACTTATCCAGCCATGGATGAGACCTCCAAAAATTAATTGCAGGGATTTCAAATAGGCAGGAAATTATAACAGAGGGAGACTTTTAGTATATCAATACTTTGGAGATAAACTTTGCCCAGCTTGGACCTTCAGAAAAATTCCAAGCACCCTCACAACTTTCTGTTTTAGAAGCTAAAAGAAATTATAAGTGGATCAGATACTCTTTGGTTTAATCTTAACCAATAGGAAGGACTTAACTGTACTATTACCACATTCTCATAATACTTTCAGCTTAGTATTCAATTAACATCAAAAAGAACTTTAGGACTCCTAAATGCACATAAGTTAACAAATCTGATAAAATTATAAAAAGCAACCCTCTGGAAGAGGAAGGTGAAATACTTAAATTTCACATCAATTAGCATGACCCCAGGGTTGCTGAGAGTCGGATGACATATGCACAAAAATGTGAAATAACAGCTGCCAATTCTTCAACTGATGTTGCCTTCATATTCATCGAGTTCTTCCCAAGAACCTAGGAAGTCACATTGTTATCAACATAGTATATGTGTGGATCCAAGCTGTGTGGTCTTTTGTAACAGATGGAAATTTTCTAAATTATCATTATTCTCAATAATCAATAATCTATCCATCTAAATTCCATGGTAGTCTCACATCCGGCTACTAACCAGAATAAAACCTGCTTAGTTTTTTGAACCCAGACAAAGCCAGTCAGGTGTTGCCACCTCCTGAATTAGACTACAAGTTTTATTTTCTTAGATGTTCAGGTAACAACTTAATGATCCATGGCAAGATCATCCCTACATTTTTTGGATTGCAGTACTTTATTTTAAAAAAAAACTTTTTTAGAAAGCTTTATGCTTATTTTCCAAAATAGTTAAAAAAAACAGATCAAGTAAACCTCATAGTCCCCTCCATCAGCTTGCAAATTATGTAAGTTTTTTCTGTCTCTTCATTTAGTTGGACATTTAAATAATGATGGTGATTTTAATTAGTCATCAATGAAATATGTGTCTGCTAGAAAATGGAAAGCTGTTTAGTTTCTGACAGTTTAATTTCCATTACTGAGTTAACTATATATATTCCCTATGAGTGAATCACAATATATGAATCACACAATGAATACCCCATAATGAAAGGCAGTGTATGTTCATGTGCAAAATCAGTTATCTCAAATTTTCTACAGAGTATGTATTAATCTGAGCTGCTGGAAATATAATCAGATGAGGGCCTGACACTTTGTATTATTGAGGTTTACATCAAAGAAATATAGGAATATCAGACTAGGGGAGATCAAAAGTACAATATACAGCAAGACACATTAGAAGTATAATCTATAATTCATTTTTAGGGGTGCTGCACAAAACATGCAATGAAATACATGCCTAAAGCTTACAGAACCATAGAAAAAGGAAGTTGGGAAGGAGTGATCATCATTTTCTTCATTACAGGACAGCATTATAGTTTTGGTAACACTGAAATCCAAAAAATATGGAGGTGTTGCTCTCATCCACAATATAATTACCAAACTAGTTAAAAGTCAGTGAATAACTTTATGAGTTATCTGACAAGCTAAACTAATTGCTGATGAAAAAGCTACCTATCTCTAAACTTTATCGCCTAAGCAATGACATCAGGCAAACTAATATGTTTTTAATAAGTTTCTCAACACCTGTCAGAATCCAATTATATTTCATCTTTAATTATCAAATATAGAAACTCCCAATTCTACCTTCTCTGGATTCTGCCATAAGAGGGAGAGAAGGGGGAGAACAAAGGGGCTTTATGGCCCTCACTTCCTTCAGTAGACTTCTAGGGAGCTGAATGTGTTTATTGCAACTTCAAAGAGAGACTTTGAATGTAAATAGCATCAAAGAACTTTACCATGACAAAAGAGAGCTAATTACCTTTCATGTAGTTATCTGAAGTCTCCATAAGACGAAAGAAAGGAGCAAGGGGGTGGAATTGTGATGCCTGAAACTATCACTGGAAGGGGGGGTGATTGGGTGGGACTGCTGGGGAACCCCTTAAAACCTTGAATGGGAGAGCTTGGACCCCAAATCCTGTCTAGCATGCCTGCAACCACTTCTCCTTAATAAAGGATTCCTGTTGGAAGAATTATTCCAAGAGTTCTGTCTTCTTAAGATGCAAAGTGGGGTGGGTCCTTACATTAGACAGGACTTGCAAAATTACTCCACCTGGAAGGGAGACCCTTGCCGGGGGATTTTGCAAAAATTTACCATGTCAGACAATGGAGCAAGAGAGGGGGAAAACTCCCTGGAAAGAGAGCCGCTGACCCAGTTGGAACCTTGCCAGATGTTGGGATCCGAGAGGTCAGATTCCTCAGGAGAAGAAGTGGTGGAGACATGGGACCACAAGCCTCGCTGGTCAAGGGGCGTTGGAAAGAAAAGTGAGTGGAGAAAGGAATCAAGAAAGGTGACCCTGAGACGGGGGACCAAGCAACCAGAATGTAAGCAGGAGATGGAGAAATCCCTGCACACAAGTGAAGAGGGAGGAAGCTGGGCACCGTACTCAGACTGGATCCTAGAGAAAGCTATTGACCTGATGAAGAGAACTCTCAGCTTCCTAGGAGAGGAGAATACTGGCCCTATGGCCGCCCCAGCTCCTGGAGCCGCAAAGGGAGAGACACCGAGGGGGACGTGGACCCTGCAACCCCAGGGACATCTACTGATCCAGGAGCCCCCACCCCCTACCGGACCACAGATGGCAATCTGGACGGAAGACACTACCACCCACAATGGAGGCACCAATCCATTCCAAGACGTCCACCGTTGGAGGTGAAATTCAAAGGGGAGCCAACACGCTTGGGGTTTTTCCTAACCCAAGTCCTCAGCTACATGGAGGAATATGGGCAGGACATTCCCAGCGACAAAGCCCGCATCCAGATTGTGCAATCTGCCCTGGATGGACCAGCTGCAGATTGGGTGGTGAACTTGCATGACTCCAATGCCCCAGAACTCAGTAACTTCAACCATTTCATGTCCTCTTTGAGAAGACGATTTGAAGATCCCCCTGGCTGATCGCAAAGCCCGTGAAAGGATAAAAATGATGAGGCAAGGCAAACGCCCAGTGGCTGAGTATACACAAGAATTCCGGGCCATTGCCAGCAAACTGAATTGGCCAGAAGACATCCTCCTTGGCCATTTCAAAGACGGACTAAACTATGATCTATATGATGCTTGCCTGCCCCGAGGGGACCCACATCGACTTGAGGAATGGTACGTCTTGGCAGAGGAAGCAGAGATCGACATATTGAAGAGGCACCGCCGAGGAAAACAATGGAGCCGCCCCCCGCCTGAGCTGACACACCAACCAGTGAAATCATCGGATACAGCCAAGAAGCAAATGGGGTGTTTCAAGTGCGGAAGAGAAGGGCATCAAGCTGTAGAATGCCGCTCAAAGGCCCCCCAGCACAACCCAGACAGATCCCCAATCAACAAACCCGTAAAGTCTTCAGCTAAGCCAAAAGAAACGGCCATGAGAATGATGGAAATTGCAGAACCCCCCACTTCTGCTCACCAAGGGGAAAGAACTCCAGCCTACACCACAGGGCCGGTGGATGCCTCAGATGACAGCTCGGAGGGCGAACCCCTGGTAAGTGGATGCATCACACCCATCCTCAAAACAGTGACTATATTAATCCCCCCCATGCCCGAAGCTGTGAAGGTGAAAGCCTTAATAGACTCTGGCTGCACCCGCTGCCTCATTAGCCCAACACTAGCGGGGAATCTGGGCATCCCATCCAGGAGACTGGAACAACCAATCTCATTTGGCCAGTTAGATGGATCCATAGCAGGGGGGGTGCCAGCTACCCTAGCCACTCTACCAATACACCTCTCCCTGGGCAACCATGAAGAGGACATAACGTTTGTGGTGACCCCAGGTATGGAATGCCCAATGATTCTAGGGATGGAATGGTTGAAAAAATGGAACCCCTGGGTAAATTGGAGGACGACAGAAATCAAATTCCCGAAGGGGGACCCTATGGACTTAAAACCCCAAGGGAGGCTACCAGAATCAAGAATAGAAAAAGCATCCATAGGAGAGGAAAAAAGATTAACAGAAATACCAGAGGAATATAAGGACCTTGCTGAAGTCTTCAGTGAGGAGAGGGCGAATGAGCTTCCCCCCCACCGACCCACAGACTGTACCATTGAATTCAAGCCTGGGGCAAAACTCCCGAAGCCCAGATTATACTCCATGAGCCCAAAGGAGAAGGAGGAAATGGAAAGATTTATAAAAAAAAACCTGGAGAGAGGTTTCATTGAGCCAGCCAAGCCTAAAGTGGCTGCCCCGGTCCTTTTTAGAGAGAAGAAGGATGGCTCTTTACGTTTATGCGTGGATTATAGGGCCCTGAATACAATCAGTGAAAGCAACCTATACCCGCTGCCCCTCATGAAAGACATGCTGTCACACCTATCGAAAGGGAAAATTTTTTCTAAACTAGACCTAAGGGAAGCTTACTATCGCGTGAGAATTAAGGAAGGGGACGAATGGAAGACTGCATTTAACTGCCCCATGGGGTGCTATCAATTCAAAGTCTTGCCATTTGGATTACAAGGGGGCCCTGCAGTCTTTATGCAATTAATCAATGACGTTCTAAGGGAGCACCTGTTTAAGGGGGTCCTTGTTTACTTGGACGACATTCTTATCTTTACTGAAACAAAAGAAGAACACGTCAAACTTGTCAGAGCGGTTTTAAAGAAGCTGCGAGCCGCTCACCTATATGCCAAACTCTCAAAATGCGAATTCCACCAGGAAAGGATAGACTACCTAGGCTATCGCATATCCCCACAGGGCATTGAAATGGACCCAGAGAAGGTCAAAGCAGTATTAGATTGGGCGCCACCCCGCACAAGAAAGCAACTACAAAGTTTCCTGGGCTTTGCAAATTTTTACCGCCAATTCATCCCCTCATTTGCCAGATAGCCTTGCCCCTCACTAACTTACTAAAAACGAAGGGAGCATCCTCAGTAAAACCTAGCCAGCCACTAACATGGACAATGGAGTGCCAAGCAGCGTTTGAGAGACTAAAGAGACTTTTTTCTGCCGAACCAGTACTAAGGCACCCAGACATGGACAAGCCCTTCATAATACAGGCAGATGCAAGTGATGTGGCAGTGGGGGCTGTGCTATTACAAGAAAATGATGATGCAGTATTGCAACCCTGTGCATATACATCCAAGAAACTCACGGAAACAGAACAGCGCTGGCCCGTATGGGAGAAGGAGGCTTATGGGATACGTTGGGCATTACTCACGTGGCGACAGTTCCTGGAAGGCAACAAAATCCCCTTCCAGGTGTGGACCGATCACAAAAATTTAGAAGCCCTGAAAACGTCCAGGAAACTCAATCCCAAACAAGCCCGCTGGTCTCAGCATTTTCACCAGTTCCAGTTTAAACTCAAACATTTACCAGGGAGAAAGAACTTCCTGGCAGATGCTCTATCTCGCATGCCTCAATATAACAGCGCACGAACCACAGACTCTAGACCAATAATGGCAGAGTCACAACTGGCAGCACCAGTAACCACAAGAACCCAAGCCAAATTAAAACCACAACTGGACAGCCAAACTGGAATTGAATTCAGAAAAAGTTTGGAAACAGATGAATGGTTCCAGAAAAACAAAAATGTGTGCACAATGAGAGACGGGTTGCCTTGGGTAGGGGAAAAGTTATATATACCAACAACCAAAGAGTCACTTTCATGCAGCTTTGCCATGACACAAAATCAGCAGGGCATTTTGGATTTGTAAAAACTTTACACTTAATTAAACGGCAATTTTGGTGGCCATCAATAAAAAAGGACATAGAAAGTTATGTTGCCAGCTGCCCAACCTGTGCATCGGCAAAGAGGTTGCAAGGGAAGTCGCCAGGGCTATTACAACCAGTGGCAAGTCCCTCAGCCCCCTGGAGGGAAATAGCCATGGATTTTATAGTGGAATTGCCAGAAAGCAATGGGAATACTGTTATCTGGACAGTCACGGACTTGTTTTCCAAACAGGTGCACTTTATCCCTTGCCAAAAGATTCCCACTGCAAAGGCCTTAGCAAAACTTTTCATCCAGCACATTTACAGATTGCACGGGGCACCCCAACGCATCATCTCTGATAGGGGAGTGCAATTTACGTCTGCATTTTGGAAGGAATTTTTATCCCTCTTAGGGACTCAGGGACTGACATCTAGCCATCATCCACAAGGGGATGGACAAACGGAACGGTGCCATTCGGTACTTGAGCAATATTTGCAAAGTGGGGTGGGTCCTTACAACACCTTTTTAAAGAGAGGGTCTTCTTTGGTCTATTGTGTTGAATAAAAGACACAAAGGGAAACACCGAATAGTGACATGCTTTGGCAGTATTTTCTATTCCAGAATCCTATGTCACAGCCCAATAAAATGCATGTGGGAGCTTAGAAAGGAGATAAGGCTCTCCAGAATAGAAAAGAATGTTACTCACCTCTTCATGTCTCATTTGCTCTATCATGTCCATGACACTAATGAAGTGGAAGCAACGATCAGAGTGATCCACCAGATAGGTAGGGAAAGGCCGGTTCTGCCAGACTGCCCATTCTGTCAGTGACAGTTCATGAACGTCTTTAGTTTCCAATTCCTAAGATTTCCAAACACAAAGAAAATAGAATGCTACCAATGCTGATCACAGCTCGGGCTTCTCAAAAGAATAATCCAAAATAAAGATAAAGTTACGGTAGATTAGAACTAACTTAGAACTGAGGAGGCATGATGGCGCAGTGGTTAGAATGCAGTATTGCAGGCTAAGTCACTGCTCACTGCCAGGAGTTCGATCCTGATGGGCTCAAGGTTAACTCATCCATCCTTCTAAGGTCAGGAAAATGAGAATCTAGATTGTTGGGGGCAATATGATGACTCTGTAAACCACTTAGAGGATTGAAAGCACTGTGAAGAGGTGTTTAAGTGCTATTGCTATTAAAAAATATATTTACCGTAAATGCCGGCGTATAAGACGACTTCCGCGAGCGCTGAAATCGGCGCCAAAGACGGGGGTCGTCTTATACGCCGAGTCGTCTTATACGCCGGAAATACTGGTAGTTTCCGGCGTATAAGACGGCGTTCTAGGAATGCGGCCCGGCTATAAAGACGGGGGTCGTCTTATACGCCGGGTCGCCTTGTACGCCAGCATTTACGGTACTTTTATGTATGAGAAAAATGTGTTTTTTCATACAATTATCAAGCATTTTATTTTTAGCACCACTTTATTAGTTAACAAACTGAGAATGAAGCATTTTTCTCATATTTCACAATATTTCTAATTTTATACATATAAATCACAGCATTAGTTTATTTAGTTATAATTCCTCCCTGTTTTGTGCCTTTCAGTAAGTCTTGATTCCTAATTCCTGCAGTTTCCTTGGCAAGATTTTTGAAAGTGGCTGGCTGCTTTTTTTTGAGAGAGAGAATGACTGGCCCAAAGTCAACCAGCTGGTTTCATGCCTAAAGTGAGAGTAGAACTCATAGTAATATGACCTGCTGTCTTAACCACTATAATAAATTGCTCTGAATTCTTTCATTAGCATTCGTAGGAAATGCTGATTTGTTAGATAGTATTTATTGTAGAGATTTACAATGGAACATCCATATGTTTTTACAGACACTTTGATCCTTCATAGCAACTCCCTTGTGTAAATTAAATTTTAATTCTTTTTCAAGATGAATATCTATACAAACTTTCCCCAATAAGTGTACTTCAAAGATTTAGGGCTTCAAGGATTCTTAGCAATGACCATGCTGGCTGTGAATTCTAAGAGTTGAAGACCATACAAAATGGAGAACATTCAAATGAAAGAAGGATCAGACATAATCTGACCTTTAAAGGTCATGTCTGATGTAAGTGATTGCCAAGGTCCTATATTTATTTTGTATTAAGTATCTGGCATTTTCTCCAATAATTTGAAGTTACATTTGAATATAATTGTTAAAGAAGAAAGTCTTAAAGACAGGTATATCTTCTCTATATTTATATCAAATATGTTACTGCTGACAACAGCTTTTTCTTCAGGCTTAAGTACTTTTTTCATGATCTTCAGCCAAACCACATTAAATTACACTGAAGTATATGTTTTAACTTACTGTTCTTGTATCTTTGCATTCTAATGTTACAAAGTGACTCCGTGGTATTATTGGTTTTTTTATTCCTTCACCAGCTTTTATTTTATATAGTCTATTCCATTTTTCATATTCCTTGGTTGTAAGACACCAGCTTTCAGTTGGACTGGCTTGCTTTGTAACTGGAAAATATTTGGAGATAAGAAGAGGAAGGAAATTAGCATATTAGTATATACTTAGTATATACATACATACATACATACATACATACATACATACATACATACGTGTGTGTGTGTACATACATATAACTTATATAAATTTATATATGTATACCAATTCTCTCAATGCCCAGTGCATCACTTGCCAGAAACCTCTTTTAGATACTATGGTGCTTAAAAGTTATTGAATCCTTTTGAATTTTCAATTTTTCTGCATAAGTATGCAGAAGCTATATATTGTGTGTGGCAAAAGCATGCATACTTTTACTTTCAGTACTTTGGACATCAATAATGGCGACTAAGCATTTCCAAAGATCAGTCTTGCAAATCAGCTTGGAAGAATTTTAGCTCAGCTTCTGCTGACGGATGTTGGTGGACTTGCCCACTTCATCTCCTTCCACTTCGTAATCTATTTCTGCAGGATTAAGGCTAGGAGTTTGACTTGGCCATCGCAAAAACATTATCTTTTCTCTGCTTTAACCATCATTTGGTTATTTGTTTTGGGTCGTTGTCTTGCTGCATGTCCCATTTTCTCTTGAGCTACAGTTCAGAGACCCTGACCTTTTCTTTTGGAGTTTGTTGCTACAATTCAGAATTCCATCAATCATGGCAAACAATTCTGATCCAGAGGCAGCAAAGCAGGCCCAGACCAGGATTCTGCCATCATCATGTTTTACATGAATACGTGTAAGTTTCTTGCACTGGAATACAGTGTTGGCCTTTTGCCAAACATAACACTTTTCATTAAGACAAAAAATTACATTTTGGTCTCATCTGTCTAGAGAACATTCTTCCAATAGTCAGATGGTTTACTCAAGTGGTCTTTCACAAACGGTGCATGGGCAGCAATACTCCTATTGGAGAGTTGTGATTTTCTCCTTGCAACTCTGCCATGCACATCATTATTGTTCAGTGTTCTCCTAATGGTGGCCTCATGAACCCTGGTATTTGGCAATGCAAGAGAAGCCATTAGGGCCTTACACAGTACCCTGGGATTATTTGAGAACTTCTGGAGTATTACATACGTTGCTGATGGTGTGATCTCGATTTGTGGACTGGGTGGAGTCCAAACATTTTGGAAATAGTTTGGTAACCTTTTCTATTTGGTGAGGATCAGCAACTGTTTTTGGACGTTTTCAGAAAACCCATTTGTTTGAGCCATGACTTTGAGCAACGATGCTTCCACATATCTGCGTTGTGAACTTCAGATTTCAGCGGTGAACAATTAGAATTGTTCTTTAAATAATTAACATCCCACTGATTAAAACAACTGACTTTAATCTCCCCTTCAAATGAATTGATAATTCTAGAGATGCACACTTGCCACACACAAGTATCAGGCTTTTGATCATTTTTTTCAATAAAGAAATAAACAGGTATAATGTTTTTGACTCATTTGTTTAATTGGGTCCTTGTTTTAGGACTTTTAGGATAATAAATCATGTTTCAGGTTATATTTATACAGAAATATCAAGAATTCAAAAGTATTCACAAATGGTGTTTTAGCACCCTTGCACTTAAACTAGTCCATATTCAGATTATTACCCAGGTATATTCTATGACGGAACCTGTGCAGGAGAACTGTGAACTGTTACAATCATATTCTCTCTTTCTTCATGTCTTTGGTTGGTTATATAACAACATCAATTGGTTGGGGTTTCTTTGTTTGCTATGGAAGACTTCCTAGAAAAAAGCTGAGTGACTGAAGTAAATTTTATTACTTGACCATTTCTATAAGCACCCACACTAAATAATTTTTTCAAAGCACTTTCTATTTTTTTTTTAAAAAATGAATTTTTCTTCTCACAAGCTCTAAAAAAATCACTATGAAAAAGCAACAGCTGCTTTTATCTTCATAGCCGATTTAGCCATAAGCAGGTCTTTTAAATAATGGTGTTTTGATATAAAATTTGCACTGAAAACCAACAAATAAATGAATCTGATTCAGTCTATAAACTTTTAGGTCTAATGAGCAGTGGAAGCAGTACCATAGGGCTATGCATGCTTTGAAATAATTTAGAAGTAGTACTTTGGACCTTACATGAACACTGTGTCTCTGTGCTATTCATTAAAAAAGGCATCTTATTTTTATTTTATTTTTTTTAAAAAAAGCTTATGTTTGAGCCTGAAAAAAGATGTTGCTCATTTATGAGTCTGATTTAAGCTGCTGTAGCTTTTCTCAGGCTCACATGGAGTCTGAGAAAAGACGTGCTCACTCAATTTTTCCAAACTACATTTCAAAATAATTTTTGAAGGGTACATAGTTCTATTTTATTATACTCATCCACATTCATGGAAAATTATAACATAACATAAGCTATTATTTATGCATAACCCAAAACTGCTTTCTTGCAGTTCTAACATTTTATTTTATTTATTAAATTTATATGGCACCCATCTCATTGAAACAGCAACACTGGGTAACTTACAATATCATAAAAAGTAGAAATGTACTAGAAAGCAATTAAAATGAGAAAAATTGAATAGAAAAGCTAAAACCTAGACGATGACCTGGGGATCTGGTCAGCCACCCCCAACATAACAGATCCCTGTCAGGACCCCAAGCCAAGTGGCAGAGATATATTTTTAGGCTCTTCTGGGAAAGCCTAAAAACATATGGACCTTGTTTCCAATGGGAGAATAATCACAAGATCAGAGACTACAGTAGAAAAGACTCCTCTCTTGGACTTCACTAGCCAAAATTCTTTGTCTGATGGGATCTGAAATAGGCCCTTTCCATGGAATAAGTGGGGCGGGTTAGTTCCTCAGATTTTCTGGACCCATGCCATTAAGGGCTTTGTATGTAATGACCAAAAGCTTGAACTGGACCCAGTAGCAAACTGGCAGCCAGTGCAATTCATGTAAAAACAGTGTCACATGTGACACCTGAGGGGCCTCCAGAACTGTCTGCACCACTGCATTCTGTATCAGTTGTGTCTATGAAGATTCTCAGCCATCTAGGTCATAGTTATCCCAAAAGAAAACAGAAGGCTTAACATTGAAGTTTACAGAAAACCCCCCCACACAGATTAGTATTTACATTTTGATTCTCACCACCCACTGGAGCACAAAATGGGAATTATCAGAACCCTACACCACTGAGATGAAGATCTGCCTACCAGCAAAGATGGTAAAGAAAAAGAACTAAAACACATCAAGGAAGCTCTCAGAATTTGTGGCTATCCCAAGTGGGCCTTCATCAGATCAAAAAGACTCAGCAGAAGTTGTCATTCCATACATTGCAGGAATATAGGAAAAGCTCAGGAGGATCTTCAGCCAACACAACATATGTGCATACTTTCAAATCCAGTTTGAAAGAGGAGTCAAAGAGGCTATCTATGTCAAAATTTAACAGAGGGGGAGGGGTATGACATCCAGTCTACAACACAGTCCTTTCAGCAGTCCCAAAAAGGCTCCACACCCATTTGCACTCAGGTGACCCTGGAGACACAGATAAATCTCCAGGTGGCCTCAACCATTCTCTAAAAGAATGCAAATGATCAGCTGCCTGCAAGAAATATAAATCTTTCCATTCCCCGCCATCCAGTCAGAGCTGAAGAAGCTTCTTGGATGAGAAGCATAATGTCTTCAAAGAAAAACAAGAAAGTCCAGTTGCTTTGTGAAAAAGCACCTTTGGGATGTACCAGTTGTGGTTTCCAAGTATTATTCAAAGGAACTCCATGCAGTGCATGCTCAGTAATCCAAGAAGTGTGTGTGTGAGAGAGAGAGAGAGGGTGGGGGAGAGTAAGAGGGAGACAGACAGACAGATAGACATCAGGGCATTTTCTTTACTGGATAGATACACAGGAATTCCCAGTAACAATTTCTGATCAGAAATGAACACAGATGATATTTGAAAATCTTTATAGTTCTGATTTATCTCTAAAATAGATACTAAATCCTATATATACCACCCAAATTTCTCTTCACTGGCCATGTAGGCTGATGCTACTGGGAGGTATAGTTCAGCAACAAATAGAAAGCAACAAGGCCGCCTCTGCTATATCCAAAGGCATTAAGGTAAACATTTATGTAATAAACACATTTTCCCCACTTGCATGTCTTCATTATCAAGTGCAGTAAATTTCTGACTGACATAAACAATAGGATTACTATCACTGCCTTGCCTTGCTCAGAAACATTTCTGGGCTATCTGGTTGTTTTCTTAAATTGGCTAGATGGATAAAGTAAGACTAACTCAAACTCACCTCAGCTACTGGTAAATACATACAAACAGTTTTCTTCATCATACAAATATTAATACCAAACAATTTTGGCACAGAACTAGACAGAAGATAAAATTTGCTTAAGGGATTTTTTAAAAAGATCAAAAGGTACAGTCATCATAGACAAATAGAGATAAACCACATTTACACATGGTTCAGGAGACAATAAAAAAGCTAACAAAGAAACAAAAAGACCAGAATATATCCTTTCCAGCAACCAGCACCCAAAAAAGCAGGGATTAATACCAGACAAATAATGAAGCAGAAAAATAATACCTAATGACAATACCCCTTATCAAGGAATTACCAATGAGAAAAGCACATCCCCAATAAAATTGGCATGGCAAGCTACTGTAGTGAAAAGACCAAGGTTGAAAATTTTCATTAGGTGAGATGTGCCGTGTAACAATTTCACAAAGATGGGAATTATGCTTTGATACCTGTCATAAAAAATCAGTAAAACTTAACATCCCAAAGTATTCACCAAGCTTTCTAATTCAACAGCACCATGCCACTCTTGGCTAGCTTAAAAATGGTATATTATTTTATTTAATATATATGGCTAATATTTATGGCCTATCATTCTGCAAAAATTTTAATTAATTAATTATAATTCAGAATAGAGCTGGAAAGGGACCTTGGAGGTCTTCTAGTCCAGCCCTTGTTCAAGCAGAAGACCCTATACCAAGGGTAGGCAACCCAAAACACTCGAAGAGCCACTTGAACCCGTTTCCCACCAAAAACAAAACACCGGGAGCCGCAAAACCCTTTTGATATCTAAAATGAAGATAAAACTGCATATATCCTTTTTTATCTTTATTATAGGTAGGGATGTGTGTGTGTGTGTGTGTGTGTGTGTGTGTGTGTGTTTATGTATGTGTATGTATGTATGTACACACACATATATATACATACACACACACACACACACACACACACACATTAAAAATAAAAGTAAAAATGTGACTCTTGGGAATATCCATACTATTAAAACAATGATCACCAAGAGAATGCTTTAAGAGAATAAAATTACATACACACAAAGGTAAAAAAAGGATATATGCAGTGTTATCTTCATTTTAGATATCAAAAGGGTCTCTCTCTCTCTGTCTCTATCCCTCCCTCCCTCTCTGTCCTTGGTCTGCCACTCTTCTTCCCCCACTTTCTTTCTCTCTCTCTTTCCTCTCCTCCTCCCTCTCTCTCTCTCTTTCTCTCTCTCTCTTTCTCCCCCCCCTCCTATCTGCTGCTCACCTGGCAAGCTTCAAGTTGTTGTCCAACAAGCTCAGAGGTAAGCAACCTCGGCTCTTTTATGACTCATGGACTTCAACTCCTAGAATTCCTGAGTCAGCCTAGCTGGGCTAGCTAGCTCTCTCCTGCCCTTCCTGCTTCCTGCTTCCTGCAGAAACGCAGCAAAGGGAGGAGCTCCGCCCAGTAAGCTTTTCAGCTCCTCGGAGAACACTGTGAGTGCACTCTCTTTTACACACACACACACACACACACACACACAGAGAGAGAGAGAGAAAGAGAGAGAGAGAGAGAGAGAGAGAGAGAGAGAGAGAGAGAGAGAGAGAGAGAGAGAGAAAAGCAGGGAAGCGCAATTGCCTCTCTCTGTCTCTGTCTCTCTCTACAAAGGCAGAGGAGGCTGGGAGCCACAGGGGAAGGCTCAAAGAGCCGCATGCGGCTCCGGAGCCGCAGGTTGCCGACCTGTGCCCTATACCAAATGACTGTCCACTTCTTAAAAGCCTCCAGTAATGAAGCCTCCAGAACTTCTGAAGGCAAGCTGTTCCACTGGTTAACTGTTCTTGTTGTTAGGATGTTTCTCCTTAATTCTAGGTTCTTCTCTCCTTGATTAGTTTCTATCCATTGTTTCTTGTCTTGCCTTCTGGTGCTTGGAAAATAAATTGGCCCCCTCCTCCTTGTGGCAGCCCCTTAAATACTGGAATATTGCAATCATGTCACTCCTAGTACTTCTTTTCTCTAGACTAGCCAACTTTTGCAAAATTATCTAAATAAATAGCCATCATAGTATTTTTGGCAATGAATCTTGTTGACTATACGAAGTATGAAAGAACTCTAGGTCTTGCTGACCATAAATCTGCCAATCGATTACACTGAGCAACCTTCCTATACCTTGTGTGAAAGACAGTTTTTGTTTGTGTGGCAACTCCAACCCAGCAGACATCCTCTCTTACCTGCACTGGCAAAACTGAGAAAAGTTTTTCGCCCCAAAACAAGGCCTTTCTTCTCCTTTGAGTGGGCTGTAGAAATGTCTTGCTCTTTCTCTGGAGGTGTAATCAACATACGGTGCATTTTGGGGTTTAGGCCTTCTGGAATCATACGTGGGCTGTGCTGGTACAAATGGAGGCCTTTATTTTTTGAAAGAGTTTTCAGAAGACTTTTTCTGTTGGATTGGCTTTGATTGTAAGTCTACACAAAGGAGAGAAAAAAATGGTACCTTTTTGTAGTAAAACGTTTTATCTGTTCCTACTTTACTTATTCAAAATCATTCAAATATGATTTACACTAAAGCAGGCTTGTAAGTCTAATTCATTATAATCCTTCTGCATATCAGCTCATTGTTAACCAATTTGCTGTTTTCCACATGCAAACAAATGCCTACAGAATATCATATTTTTCAATTTATAGTGATTTGATGACATTTTTAAAACTTATAAGTCAGAACATATTTGAAGAACTCAGATTATGTTCTCCCATTATTACTCCGTGTCTAATAATGTTCAGGTGAAGATTTTTAATATTTATTTACTGAATTTCTATAGATAAAGGAAAACAAAGTGTTGGCACAATCAATGTTCTTAATAAAACCTATGTTAACATTTTACTAAACGGCCTTCTAATGCACTATCCCTTAAAATGTTCTGTAATGTATGTAATTATAAGGGATTGAACCATGACCAGGAGCTCCATAAAGCTTATTGACTAAAGAAACATAATGCAAAATGAAGGTATCATTAATGTAAGGTAGTCAGGATTTATTGGAGCAGAACAAAAGAGTGGCAACATAATTGTGACTCCACCAACACGTTGTTAAAGATCATGCTGTCCACAATTACTCTAACTTCAATTCTTAGTTTCAGAAGTCTGATAGCAATGTTCTTATTTTATATACTTCTCTTTATTCTTACCTAAAGAAAAAAAAAACATAAAATCTTTTCTCCCCACATTTACTGAACTAATATTGTTAAAATAAATAATATTCCTTCTAGTAATTTATTTTTATCCTACCTTTATTATTTTTATACATAACTCAAGGTGGCAAACATACCTAATACTCCTTTCTCCTCCTATTTTTCCCAAAACAACAACCCTGTGAGTTGGGTTGTGAGAGGGAGTGATTGGCCCAAAGTCACCCAGTCAGCTTTTGTGCCTAAAGCAGGACTGGAACTCACAGTCTCCGGGTTTTTAGCTTGGTGCCTTAATCGCTAGATCAACGGAAACAGGTTTTCTGGATATAATCCTAAGTGCCTCTAGCAACAACCCCTGTCCCAAGTCCTTCTGAACATACTACTGCAACCATCAGAACCATCACCACTGCTGCAGTGCCAGGATCTGCTAGTTCAGCTCTTACTTTCTTTCAGCTTTATTTGGTGGCAAGACCTAGGATCTGAATAGAGTTTTTGGAAACATTCAGAAAACTAAAATCCCTGTGTCTAGAATTTGTTAGGCAAACATAAACTTGGGTTTGGAGTTTCATCTTACTCGCTCTTCCCTTCCTTCAGAAAGAATGACAACAATGCGCCCTTGCCGTTTGCGTCCAGTTCGGCCCATTCGCTGCACAAGACGAATGGGACTTTTTTGAGCATCAAAACAAATGATGAGATCCACTTCTCCAATATCCAAGCCTTCTTCTCCTACACATGTGGAGACCAATGTGTTGTAGCCGCCCTCCCGGAAACACTTCACTACCTAAAGGAAAATATAAACAAGCTTTAGCTTGATTCTGGCAGTTCTTAAGAAACCAAATCCACATAGCAAGGAAATATTATGAGATCAGTAGATGTCATAGAATTTGGAATATGCATGAGATACAAAGAAATGAGGATTGTGTACCTCTCAAAATAGAGGAAGCTATTGAAACTAGCACTAAGTTACATGGAACAATTGTGGTTTTTCGTAAGATAATAACCTTATGTAAACAGATAGGGTCAGTTTAAATTGTTCAACTATTCAGGAAATTTAGGAACTTTATCAATTACTATACTGCTCTATTATAAAACATTTTGTTTTCTACACAATGCATTAGTAACTGATAGTAAGCGCAATCACAAAGATCTGAAGGAAGGACAGATATAATGTACACATTTACTTCTCTCATTCTTTCGGTGCCATTTTCTTAACCAAGTGAAAGTAGTTATAGTGTTGGAATGTCATGCGAACTCTCTAACCCAGTTGAAGACAGGGATAGATGAGCTAATTTTATCCCAAGAAGTCTCACAATAACTTTAACTAACTTGATGAACCATATTGTGCACAGTTGAGAAGCTTAATGAAGCAATAAATACTTCCCCTGCTGCTGAATCAGAGACAGACTCATAGAGGACCCCCATAAAATGGTCTTGACTGGGAATTGTCTTATTTTTAGTTCTCAGTACCTACACTGAGAATGAGGACAGAAAACAGGCAGAAAATGTTGAGAGTGAATATGGCTCTCGTGATTCTCTAAGGCAGAGATCTCCAACCTTTCCCGACTTGAGGACCAGAGGGGAGGAGAGCAGCTTCAAAATTGGTGTGCATGTGCGTGTGTGTGCACACGGGGCCACACACACTGGTGTGGCACTAGCAGCCCGGCTGCCGCTGTGAGCATGCGTGAACGGCCACGCACCCCCCACGGCCGTTAGTGGCCCATTTGTGCATGTGCAAATGGGCCGCACAAACTGCCCAGGCTAGCAGCGCATGTGCAAATGGGCCCGCACTAGCATTCCCGTTTGTGCCCATGCACATACAGAAACAGGGCTGCAGGCACCAGCGTGAGTGGGGGGGGAAACACACACCCACACATGCGCGCACCAGCCAGCTGTTTCGCGGCCTGCTGGGCAAGAACCCACAGCCTGGCCCCGGGCCACGGACCATAGGTTGGGGACCCCTGCTCTAAGGGGTCAAAGATGACTGGAGCAGTATGTAATTTTAAACCCGTGTTCCATTTGGAGAGGTATGCTGGAAGGACATGACAGTCACCTGGTTTCTTCTATGATGATGGAAGGTCTTTGAAAACCACTCCCTGATTTTCTGCTTCTCTGGCGCTTGGGAACAAGACAAATTCTCAAGGAGCAGCTAATATGTGAAACAAAGCTATAAAATTCTGCTTCTCATTACATTTTTATTTCTATAGGAAGAATAACTACTTTTTCTATTAAAAATAACTAACAAGGAACAATTTATTATTTGAAAAATACAACAATCTGAAAGTTCCACAGCCAAACTGAGAGTTCCATAGCCAAATAATGATCACATGCCTATAACTCTGGCAGTTATGTGTTTGTGAGTTTTATTCATTTTAAGTGAATTTAAATTATATGTGATTGCAGCAGTGGAGCCCTGGTGAAATTAAATTTTATGCAGTGCAGCATGGGTATTGCTATATTATGAACCCATTTTCTTGGCATCAGAAATCTGTTTGGGATGATAATTTACAAGTATACTAAGGATAAAATTTGTTATACCATGCAGGACAATTTGTATCCTTCCCTCCTCCCATTTCATTACCTCAAGCTGTTCCTTCTGTGTAAAACCCTTTGTGCTTTTGCCTGTAGAATGGCCTACAAAGGTCATGACTCTCACAAGTGGGTAGTGATAGTTAAGCATCTCTGCAATTTCCTGAACACTGTCACGAAAGGAGGAGAAGATCATTACTCTGGTGTCTGCAGGTGTGACTTCAGATGTAGGCTGATCTATGTAATAGAGAAAGCAAACCAATAAACTACACCTCAGTGAACACATATGGAGAAATTTGATGCAACATGCAGACATGCAGAATCTCCAGTTAATCAATTTCACTGACTAGCATCCTAATCAAGACTAAGCATCATGCTGGTAAAATGGAACTAGTAAAGTTAAAAAAGTATAAAAACAAAGAACATTTATTTTTAAAGGATAAATTGTGTCAGATTGAAAACTGCATATACTGGTAAACCAAATATTTAGCCAGAGTCTTTGAAATAAGGACAGTATAAAATGAATGGCAAAATATTAAAGAGCAAATAATTCATAATGCTTAAAATTCAAAGTAGAAAACAGTAGGGTATAGAATATAAACCCAACAAAACTGAATCAGAGTGTTCAACAATACTACTTGATTTCTTATCAAAAACAAACGGCACAACTTATAGTTAATGGAGGTTTGTCAGAGGTATTCCCAATTGAAAAGGGGACCAGACAGGGTTGTCCATTGTCCCCACTGCTGTTTGTTTTAACTTTGGAAATTTTATTGATCAAAATTCAGGAATCATCGAAAATAAAAGGAATAGAAATTAACAAAAAAGAATATAAATTAAGGGCTTTTGCAGATGATCTGGTGGTTACTTTATCTCAACCAACTTACTTTGTAACGGAGTTGTTACAATTGATAAATCAGTATGGACAAGTTTCAGGTTTTAAAATTAATAATAATAAGACTAAAATATTGCCTAAGAACATGACCAACTTGGATAAGGAGACCTTGGTTAGATTGATAGGCTTTGAGGTTGTTAATAAGGTAAAATATTTGGGGGTTATTTTATCTGCTTCCAATGCAAAACTGTATAAAAATAATTATGAAATGCTGTGGGTTAAAATACAAAAGGATTTGGACAATTGGAAAAAGCTGCAATTGTCACTCTTGGGGAGAATAGCAGCGATTAAAATGAATGTTCTGCCAAAATTTCTTTTCTTATTTCAAATGATACCTATTTTAAAGAAAGAAGCAAATTTAGATGAGTGGCAGAAAGGTATCAATAAATTTATCTGGGCAGGGAAAAAACCAAGAGTAAAACTTAAAATTATACAAGATATACGAGAGGTGGACTCAAGGTACTGAATCTGAAATTGTATTATGATGCCGTGGTTTTAACATTAATCAGTGATTGGGTTAACTTAACAAATGTAGATATACTCCTTTTGGAGGGATGGGATTTACTTTTTGGATGGCATGCCTACTTAATTTATAATAAAAAGGTTGATAGGGTTTTTAAATCTCATATCTTAAGAACTTCTTTACTTCGGGTTTGGAAGAAATATTACAGAAGTGATTCAAGAATTCCATTATGGGCTATTCCATGGCATGCAATAGAAGGAATAAGGAGAGGAGTTAAGATGGATACTATTTCCTATACACAATTACTTAAGTGGGATGGTAAAAATTGGCAATTAAAATCTACGGATGAATTAGCACAAGAAAATATTATTTATTCATGGTTTCAGTATAGACAACTATTGGTAAGGTGGAAGATAGATTATAATGTGGGCTTGCTTAGAGAGGATGAGAATTTGTTAAAACAAATTAGAGATCAAAGTCGAACCCATATTAAAAGAATTTATGGTGTGTTAGTGGAATTGGATTCAGAAGCAGAGTTAGTTAAAGATTGTATGGTTAAGTGGGCACAAAATTTTGATGAACCGATCCTATTAGACACATGGGAGATTATTTGGGTGAGGAATGTTAAATTTACGTAAGCCCAAAATTTACGGGAAAATTTTTATAAAATGTTTTATAGATGGCACCTTGATCCACAAAAAATGTCTCGTATGTATTCAAACCTCCAGCCCAAATGTTGGAGATGTGGTTGTTTGGATGCCACTTATTATCATATCTGGTGGTCATGTAAAAGTATAAAAGCTTTTTGGATTAAGGTATGGTGGAATATTCAAAGAATTTTTAAAAGAAGGATAAAATTTACTCCACAATTGTTTTTGTTGGGTATTGTTTCGGATTGTGATGACAAAGAGATTATTTTAATGTTAAATTTAATTACTGCGGCTAGGTTGTTAATAGGGCAATATTGGAAGAAGGAATCTTTGCCTACTCTGCAAGAATGGTTTTTTAAAGTTTCTTATTTAGCGGAAATGGCAAAAATTTCGGCTTTCTTGAAAGATCAATCGCAAGAGAAGTATTTCTTGGTGTGGAAAAGATGGATAAATTTTATACAATATAAGTATGATATAAGAAAATATCATCTAGCTTTTGAATAATTTATATTTAAAGTTCAAGATATTATTTAGAAGTGTAATTATTATTATTCTTTAATTTTTTTTCTTTTTTTTCTCTTTTTTTTTCTTCTTTCCTCTTTCTGTTTTTTATATATAATGGAGTTAAAGTATTTTATAATTTGTTTATTGAGTGTAATTATATTTGTTTAAGGTTTATTTGGGTTTAAAACTTTTTTTTCTTTTAATTTCTAGTTAAGCCTGTATTCAGCTCTGGGAAGAATGGGGGAGGGTTTTGGGGTGGGTTGGGAGGGATTGGGGAAGGGGTTTTTATTGTAAATTTTTTTTAAAAATTTAATAAAAAAAAAACAAAAAAACAATACTACTTGATTTCTTGCAACTTTTTCATTAGCAGTTGAGTTACATCCTATATGTACCTTGACTTTCTCTCCAGGATCTGAAATGTTGTACAACAACATCTTCTAATTTCTTTAATTTGGGATGACTATAAATGAAAGTCTTCATGTCTTCAGCTCCTGCAAACCCAAAAATTTTAATTTTAAATATAAAAATCTATAGACAGCCTTAACTTTTTTTTAAAAAAAAAATCTCTGTGAAAAGTTATCCCTTCAAAATATAATAAAATTGTCTCCTTAATTCAGAGGTCTTTAAACTTGCCCCTTTTATGACTTGTGGACTTCAACTCCCAGAATCCTTCAGCTAGACAAGCTGGCTGACGAATTCTGGGAGTTGAAGTCCACAAGTCATAAAAGGACCAAGTTTGAAGACCCCTGTCTTAATCCTATTATTAAGGGAAAATCCTATAAGATTACCAGTTACCTGAGGGACTGTCTTTTTCCAAGAGTCTCTATTCATCCAATTCAATCCAGCAGACTGGACATACTGCAGATCCCATCAGTCAAATAGTATTGAACGATGGGAACTAGAAGATAGGCCGTTACAGAATATGTTAAAGACCCGGTTTATTGGTTTTACTGTTAGCCGATTAACTATCTTTGTTACTGTATGTATCTTCTGGATGTTTTTACTGTTTTAAATTGTTTTATAATTTTAGGATTGTAAACATATATGGAGATTCTCAATCATTCAGGTCATGGTTGTCCCAAAGGTGCTTTTCAAAAAGCAACTGGACCTTTTTTTTTTTTCCTTGAAAACATTTCACTTCTCATCCAAGAAACTTCTCCAGTTCTGCTGAATTGTAGAATTCAGTTGTAGAAAGTACAACTGAATTGTAAAATATAGTTAGAATTGTAACCAACCCAGAGTCATTTGGACCAATTGGGCTGTTACAGAAATTTAATGAAGGAATGAAGGAAAGAAATAGATATAGTGTACAATTAAATATTTATCATTTATTCAAATGTAAATTTGAGATACAGAGCTTCAGTTTGGTATAGTGGTTAAAGTATTAGGCCAGAGACTGGAAGGTTATGAGTTCTAACCCTGCCTTAGGCATAAAGCCAGCTAGATAACTTTGAGGCAGTCACATTCTCTCCCCCCTGGGAAGAAAACAATGGTAAACAACTTCCAAAAATGTTGACAAGACAACTGATGGGGGGAGAAATTTGTTAAAATAAATAAGAGTGATATCAAATTTAAACCAAAATAGAGATATTTTTTAATATCTGAAAAAAATAGTATACCCTTAAGCCACAATAGTCATACTATATAAAGACAGCCTTCACCAGGAATATCCATGGGTATTTTAAACATATTCTTCGGTCCTTAGTAAAGTCATTTGTCATGCTGAACAAATAGCACTGCTGTATTTTGAGTAGATAAATTGCCAGCCTAGTTCATTGATGTTACCATTTGATGAAGTTGAATCAAAAAACATGTTTTCAAGTTGGTTGTATAGCATCATGAATTCCTCATTACACCTAAGTTCATTTTTGGCTCGAGTCATTCCTTAGAAAGAAAAGTAGTCGAATTTAAAAATGTTAAACTTTAGATCTCTGACTTACATAAACTGCACATCAAGCTAGACAGTTTTGTAGTCTGCAGTGAAAATTAATAGTAAAAGAAATCACAGATAAGTGTCCTGGTTAATGACTGCAAGACACAGATAAAGAATAATGCAGTATTACAACAACATAATTAATTTGGTTGGAAAGGACATTAGAGATCTTTTAAGTCAAACTGCCACTGATGTAGCTACACCACTACTATAGTTTCCCTAACAGGTTTCCATCCTTATTTTGCCTGAATTCCTGTAATGAAGGACAGGCTCATCCCAACTCCCTACTGGCAATTATTCTTCTATGAAGTAGTCAGCATCATAATGAATTTCTAATTCAAATATTTGAAAATGACTGTCCCTATCTTAGACTATCACTACTTAAGATGTACTTCAAATACATACAAGATGTCTTTGAGATTATAAGGTATTAAATATTAGGAATATATAGAAATATGGAAAATATATATAATATTTTTAGATAAAATATATTCTGTACAGAAAATATATAGAAAAACATCTAGTTTGGGTGGACTTGAGTAACCAAGTTAAATAGAATAGCAGCTTTGCATTGGCTAGACACATTCCTCATATTCATGATGTGTGCCTATCCTTGTCTCTTTTAACACAATCCCATTTTCATTATACCTAGGCGGCAACTCTAGCTACTACTCTGGTATCAAAAATAAAAATCTCTAGAATGAACGAATATAGAAAAGGTAAGAATGAGACTCAGACAAAAGACTTGTGATATAGACCTTATTATGCTAATTCTATCTTATTCAGCCTTATATTAAAAATACTTGGGAAAGCCTAAATATTAATTTTATTCACTGAATTCCAATTTCCTCAAGACGATCAGTCTTAGATCAATTCGTAGGTATGGTTAAAATCAGTTTCCCTCCCAACTAAAAAGCAGTATTTTCTATTTAGTCTCAGCTTTTTATGCCCAAAGATAGTCAATGGTGCCTCTGCCAGAATGGATGAATTATGTGTTTTTCCCCTCTGGTAAGAATAGAATAGAGCTGGAAGGACCTGGGAGGTCGTCTAGTCCAGCCCCCTGCTCAAGCAGGAGGACCCATACCATCTCAGACAAGTGACTGTCTAGCCTCTTTTTAAAAATCTCCAGTGATGGAGCACCCACAATTTCTGGAGGCGAGCTTTTCCACTGATTAATTGTTCTCACTGTCAGGAAGTTTCTCCTTAATTCCAGGTTGCTTCTCTCTTTGATCAGTTTCCAACCATGTTTCTTGTCCTACCCTCTGGTGCTTTGGTGAATAACATGACCCCCTCTTCTTGGTGGCAGCCCTTCAAATACTGGAATATTGCTATCATTTCTCTCTTCTTTTCTTTAGACTAGCCAAACCCAAGTTCTGCAGCCGTTCTTTGTAGGTTTTAGTCTCCAGGCCTTTAATCATCTTAGTTGCTCTTCTCTGAATTTTTTCCAAACTCTCAGCATCCTTTTTTGTGATATGGTGACCAAAACTGGCTGCAGTATTCCAGGTATAGTGTTTCTAAGGTTTTATAAAGCGGTACTAATACTTCACCTGATCTTGATTCTATGCCTCTGTTTATACAACCCAGGATTTTGTTAGCTTTTTGAGCTGCTGCTGCACACTACTGGCTCATAGTCAAGTGATTGTCCACTAGGACTCCAAAGTCCCTCTCACAGTTACTGTTTTTAAGTCAGGTTTCGCCCAATCTGTACTTGTACCTTTGATTTTTCCTGCCTAAATGTTATACTTTGCTTTTCTTCACACTGAAATTCATTTTGTTGGATAGGGCCTATTGTTCAAGTTTGTCAAGATCTTTTTGGATTCTGAGTTTGTCTTCTGGGGTGTTGGCTACTCCTGCCAGTTTGGTGTCATCTGCAAATTTGATGAGTTCCCCTTCAATTGCCAATTCAATTCAAGTTATTTATGAAGATATTGAAGAGTACTGGGCCTAAGACGGAACCTTGTGGTACCCCACTGCTTATTTCTCTCCATGTGGATGTAGAACCATTGAGGACTACTCATTGATATACTACAACATCCACAGCATTTCGCTGGTCTACTAGTTTAGTCACTTTATCAAAAAATGAAATAAGGTTGGTTTGGCATGATCTGTTTTTAACAAACCCGTGCTGGCTACTAGTTATAACTTTGTTTGCTTCTAGCTGTTCTTTGTTTACAATATATAAATATATTTCAAGTTAATTTATGAATTAGCAAATGTGAAAACAATGTTTTATTCCCCTATCTTCCACAAATCTAAATACATGTTATTTCTAATCAATTCAATTTATTACAGTCATTTCTTTAAAATATTTTAATAGACATGTATAATATATCTAAATGCCCATGGTTAAGTTGAAATGGGAGTAAAACCAAATTCTTTACCTTTTGATCCATCCATGATTCCACGTAAGAAGGTATGTAGTGATCTCATTCCCATTTGCAGTAACAGTTCGTAACCATGATACAAACTAATACAAAGAGCAAAATCTCCTTCTATTGCACCTTGTTGCATTCGCTGGGGGAAAAAAAAATTCAAAATTATAGTTATACAGATATATTTGTAATAGCAATTTTACTGTGATTCTATCTACAGTTTAAGTAAATAATAAAGTAAAATAGACTTCCACCTAACTATCTAAGCACTTTTTATTCCATTTCAAGCTTACTGGGAAAAAAATCAAATGCTTTGAAGGCTAAAGCCTGGATTAGACTTCTCTGTCACTGCACACCAGGGAATGTATTTTTTCTGTCATGTGGAAACGGTTGCATAACTTTTGCATTTATACGTCTGCAAATGTTTCTGACCAGGGGGCTTAAAATGCTATATAAATGGGATAGAAAACTGTAGTGAGAAAAAATCCATTTTGAGACAAATACTGCAAGAATTTGAATTTATTCAAATAAATGGATAAAGTCTTTATCCAAAGTCCACAAAAATTTATATAGATTAAATCAGGTGGCCTTTTAAAAGAGTAGAGGGCTGCACTACATTGCTTTTTTCTTAAAGGTAGTATGAGCACATCTTTTCCTTAAACATTGCAGAGCTAGAGAAGGAATTCTGTAACCTTAAACATTGCAGAGCTAGAGAAGGAATTCTGTAACTCAATGGTTGGATTGGACATCCAGAAAAAATATATTAAAACAGCATTCCCCCTACCTTTCTGGCTCAGTGGACTGCTGGAAACGATGGGGGGGGGGGAAATGGTTTCGTGTGTGCGCTACTTTCACAAATGCAGCTTTGAGCATGCATATGAGTGTACTCCCCCGCCACTTCCACAACCCAGTTTCAAATGGGCTGTGGCCCTGGCACTGGGCTGTGGCCCGAGGGTTGGGGGCCTCTGTATTAAAGGACATCGGAGGTAGAAATGGGATTAGAACTTTGGTTTTAATTTTATAGGAAATGATTTACCCTGTGTTGCTTTCGTTATTTTGTGTTAACTCTGTGCATGCACATGGATGCTCCAGGCTAAAGGAATAAAACCTGCATTGTTTTAGACATTTTCTCCTTTTCAACTAAAATCAAGTACTTTGATTTTAGTATTCATAATAAATAACTTGGATTCTTACTGAAACAGTTATTTTAATTCTGAAAGGATTTAATCTAAGCACATTTCTCCCTGCTTGATTAGGTACAAAAAGGGAGGAAAGCAGAAAAAAAAGATCATCACATTATTTATTCTTGAGTAAAACTGTGAAAAAAGTGCCAGGTGGTGGGTTTTCCTGAAAAGGCTGTGCAAACAGTAAAGGAAGATGTAATATCAACTGTGAGAAAAGGCCTGAGACCTCCCCCCCCCCATTCCAAATGTGCATTTGACTGTGACTAATTACAAATCTGATTATACAGAAAGAGAATATGTACCTCAAAACGTGAAGCAGGGTTTTTCCTAAACTGATCTCGTGCTAGAATTATCTGATACTTTGTAAGAGCAGGTATTTCATGTCGTGGTAACACCTGGAGTCTAGTTAGCCGACCAGTAAAAATTTCCAAGACCTGAACATAAAACAGAAGACACAAAATGAAATTTTTCCATGTCACAAGTGGTTCTATGTGGGAAAGAGAAATAGTTCTCAGTATGAGCTGAGGTTGAACCAAATGGAAGTCAAGGCTTTGAAGCAAGAAGTTATTCAGTCTCTTATATTTTAGTTGTTGACAAATTAGTGACCCACGTCAGCTTCCTGAATTTCTGCATGACCCCAGACCATTCAGAGACTTTATCATACGGGTGTCAAACTCAGTGCATTATGTGACGTGTCGCAATGTATCGTGACTTTTTTCGCATTGCTGGAACTGGGGTGGACGCAGCCTCTGCATGATGCAATCAGCCCACAGGCCAGCAGTTTGACACCCCTGCTTTATCAGAACAAATGACCAACATTTTTCAGTGTGTTAATGGTGGGGCAGTGTGTGAGAATGAGAGAATGATACTTTTGAAGCAGTATTAAGCTTCTGGAAGACAAACTATTAGCATTCTCAAATTTACCATTATTGATTGCCTGAAATTGCACCTACAAACTTCAGGCATTTTGTCACTGAATTTTGATGGCACAATTGGGGGAGAGTGGGTATGTTAAAGGCTGCATTCAATCTGCAATTAAATATAATAAGCTATGTACCCTGAAATCCAAGAGTTCTGCCTGTCAAAAACAAACAAACAAACAGTTTCATATGATGCAGCTATTGCTTCCTTAAAATCTATACACTGCACATAAAAAGTCTACCCAATCCATTCTAGCAAATAGGATAAATTCATGAATAGACTTCCAGTCTTGCGTTGTAGCGACATGGCCAAGGATTGTAGGGCTCCACACCCCATGGCTGGTTTCACCTGCCAGGGGATCCTAAATGGGTCAAAAGTTGCCCCGGAGAGATGACGAAGAAGAAGCTGATCACAGAATGACAATGGTTGATCCGCTCTATCCGGAGGAAGCCCTCCAATCTGACAAGAGAAAGGCTAACCACACCTCGCTGACTAGCCCAAGCTACCGGCAGTCGAAGTCCAAAAGCACTAACCAGAACAACAGTGAACAGTGTGCTTGGAACTGGGTGAGAATATCGATCTTCTCTCTCCTATCTTGTAACTGATTTCCTGGAAAAGATCCCCAAGAAGCAAAAAATCCTCTGAAAGTGAGAAAGGAGGGGACTACAACCCCACCCTTCTATAGACAGAAGCAGCAAATTAATGTTTATGGGGGACAGAAATATATTGAAATGAAGTTAATACTACAGCCTGGATAAATTTTAAAACTATGAAAAATGTTAAGATTTTGCATCTGAAAGAGTATTAATGAAACTATGAGAAAATAATTCTTTGTCTTAAAAGTTGTAATGAATAGATACTGACATCTAGTGGAGGATTAGAACATAACTATAGCTGCATTGACTGAGAAATTGGCAAGATGCCCAGAAATAGAAGAAACTTGTTCCTTTGAACCTCAGTGATTTTTACTCAAATAAAAAAAAATAACTGGGAACGGAGGAAAGAAAATACAACAGGGCCATCTACTACAGAATGAGAACTACATTTGTTTTAAAAACCGCTGACCTTCTGGAACTATAAATACTCACTGAGCTGTGATTTCTAAGCCCAAGAATTATTTGCAGAGAAAGAAAAACCTTGATTCTTGGCACATCTTCTAGGGAGGAATTTACTGGAAAGCTTTTAGGTGGCTAAACATTCTGGACTGCAATTCTGGCTGGTTGATAATTCTAAGACCCCTGAACAGAAGAACTGTTATAAAACACTGCTTTCAATGGATGCTTTGACAATTGGAAACACATTGGATTACAATAAAGCTAAGAGCTATATAAGATTTGGTTGTTTGGATTTTAAGATTGGTTGGTTTGATAAGGCTAATCACAGAGACTATGGTACCGGTGAAAGACTATCTGGAGGGGGGAGACAAAACAGAAGTTGCATACCTATTAAAAAGTAAGAGGAAACCACATCTAATATTCCCTTCTGAAGGCCCTAGCCTGGAACATCAGAGATCTGCAGGAGCAATACTCCAAGACAAGGCAAATACTTTCAGGAGGAAATGTATACAAGGCTGTGACAGATTCAAATGACAATGGTTTCAAACTACGATGAGATTAAAAACAACTTTGATGACATAAATGAGCACATCTTCAACCTAAACTTACAATTAAAAACCTCTCAGAAAACGACGATAAAGAATGAACAAACAAATCAGATAACAGAACACAAACCAGAAGAAAGTGACTTAAATAGGGAAGCTACAAATGAAGAGAACCACAATTTAACACAAACAGAAGAAAATTTACAAGATTTTGACACAACAATGAAAATGGAAAAGATATTTTATCTTTCAGGATTTCAAAACAAATTTGAGGATAATAAAAAAGATCTAACAAAATGGATTATAGAACTGCCAGGAGAATCATTAGTTTGGGAGACAAAAAGCATACATCCAACTCAACTTGTCTTTATTACTCCCAACAACACTTACAAAAATACAGGAATCCCCTGGCAAGCGGAACATACTGACTTGGAAAACTACTTGGCAAAAGAAGAAGGCTAGAGTTAGATTCAAGAGATTTGATTCAACTTACAAGATGGAGTACTATATGATTAAACATTTGTTTGAATATGGTTAAAAGAATAGATAAATTCTGGATATAAAGATAAATTCTGGATATAAAGAGGTCCTACAGTAAAAGGGACAAGACATATAAGTAGTATAGTACTTTTTATATTATATGAAATGTAAAAATATTATGTATGTGAATGAAAAATTTGGACATTTAAAGGTAATCAACTTTGAGAAAATTATGACTGATAAGATTGGCTTGAATACTGAGGGGAAATTAAGCTTAAATAAGAATTTTAAAAACAGGACACATACTGACTTAATAAGATGACTTTTATAAATACAATTGAAACATAAGCCGACCCGAAAAAGATGTTATATATGGATGTTATTATTTGTACAAACACAAGAAAAATGTTCATATCCAACCTTGTATGTATCAAAAATATTAAGAATTACATTTGTTTAATGTTGATAAAGGAGAATACTAGTGGAAGAAGAGAAGATCAAGGAAATATACTATTAATGTGTTGATTGTGGAATTATAGAAATTAATCATTATTGATTTTTTAAATATATGAACCCAGACAACATGCTGTTTAATAAGCACTAAAGACTGTTATCGTAAAAAAACAATAAAATACATATTTTTTAAAAAATGATAAATTCATGAATTTAGATGCCTTAGGACTTTTAACAATAATTGGATTCAATCTCTTTTTTGGGAGAAGTGTTAGTTAATGACTTAGCTAAGTTCTGCTACATGTGCTCCCAGTCAAGGAAATGGAAGAAGGGTCACATATGAAATTGAACAGGAAATTATAGAGTATCAGAATGGTATATGTGGTCTACCTTCTCTTTAAGCTGTCAGTACAAAAAGATACAAATGTTATACAGATAATCCTCAATTTATGGCCACAATTGAGACAGAAATTTCCATTGCTAAGCAATGTGATTGTAGAGCAAGATATCATATGACCACATTGCTTAATGATCCCAATCCTGGCACTCCTGGTTACTGTCATAACCCCACATGTGTGGGTCTTTAAGCGGAGGGAGGAATGCAGTAGAGAGATGGGAGGCCTGGCATAGTTTGCATGAAAGATGAGGGACAGTGCAGTGTGAGCACAGGGATACTAGGGAAAGAATTTGCTGCAGCTCAGGGGCTTCTTGGGACACTGTGGATCTGGGGCTGCAAGAAACTGTGAGCTGAAATATAATGCTGCAGCAAGCCTTGGAAGCCTCGGCCACTCCAATCAGCTCAGCTCCGCTCAGCTCATTGTGCTCCATAGACCTTGCCGCATCCAGTTGACCCTTTCCATTTTCCTGCCCCTGCTAACAAATTATGTCCAACCTGACTATGATGGAATGAAACATAGTGCCCCTCCCCCCAAAACCCCAATAATCAAGACTCATTGCAGAAATTATTTATCCAGCACAATGTTCAGCTTCAAAGTTTACTGATGGTAGTCACTAAACCCTGAAGCTCAACACTTCCCATCAGATGCCTGCCATAAAAGCCTACACCATTATTTTGACATAAACCTACAAAGACATAAATAAAAAGGACCCAATTATTTGAAAAGATGCCTCCAACATTATTTAAGCCATACGATAATATAAGTAAAAAAGTCCTGTTGTGGCTCCAAAGATGGTTAAGACTTACTGTATGCTGACCTGGAGTAAGGCTTTTTCCTTGGCAGATTCCAGTTATAAAATTCTCTATTGAGTATACAACTTATTCCCTATTTTGCTTTAATCTTTGTTGGACAAGCTTATTTTTCCAGACACTTTCAGGTTAATAACTATCCTAGGACAACAGTTTTGATTTAATTCTTTATAACTGTTGTACTCTTTGTACAATTGTTTCATTTTAATAGGAGTTCGCTTTTTTTTCTCCTCAAACTTTTTTCATGGAAGGATGTTTTTAATATTTTGTATACCATTCTGGGCTCCTTTAGGATGAATAGTGGTATAAAAAGAAAGTAATTAGCAATGTAATAATTAAACAGTAATTAAATGCATTAACCAAACCAGACCATAACTATGGAAGACAATAAAACTTATCGTTACCTCCCAAAATCAATAATGATTTTTGAGGTTAATGCTGAAGGTTCTCTTAAATACCTGTCTGAGATTGTAATTTTAACAGAGATTTATTTGTTATAAACCTTATAAAGCAATCATAATTACAGTTCATTGTAATGCAATCTGCACAGGGCCAACTAGAAAATGAAACTGCAGAATCTCCAAATACCCTTTCTAAGTTCAGCACCTACTTAATTACAAAACTGTCCAAAGCCAGTTTCTGAATTCTTCCAAGAATAAACCCAACCTTTGATCAGACATGCTAGAGTAACTTTAATGAGAAACTGCAGCAAAATGCAAACTCAATCAGGATAATTCACCAACTGTTAAGCATTCTACTGTCAATCTGCTTTAATTACATATGTCACTGTTTGAAGTTTTAAACTACTGAAAAATAAGTTCACAAACACACCAGTAAATTTAGTGTTTTATTTAACAGGCTCAATGAGCAGAACTCCCTTAGCAAAATGAAAAACAAATTTATTTATTAACTTATATTTAAAGTGTTGAATAAAATTTTACCCAATTCTTGCATGTTAATTCTACCTTCATTTTCATAATTCTAAAATAGATTAAAACTCACCCGTATGTAAGCATTCTGAATTTCAGTCAATTCTTTCCCAAGTGGAACAACACATTTTTCAATTCGTCGCTCATGAGAATAAGGCTGAATATCAGGAGAATCTTCAGAGCAAAGTTCTATGTGTGAAATTAACAGGTTGGTAATAACTTGCTGCACAGCCTGTTAAAAAAGTGTCAAAGTTATGTGCTGCATCTCGGTTAGGTCATGTTAGCAGAATAAAAATCAGATATATTTGGACACAGAATTTCAAGAGTTAAAATCTAATCTTCACAATCTATAAATGTTATAGACAGGCAAGATTAAATGAGAGAAAAATTCAAGTTGTCCTAACTGTGGGGTTTGTAGCACAAAGATGTAAAGACCTAATTACCCAACACAGAATTCCCAATATCAGGCTGGCTGTGCGTGTATGATTTTTAAATTTTAAAAATATCTTAGGATAAACTTGTGAGTGTATTTTTTTAAGTTCATTTTAAAAGCTTTTTCCTCAAAAAATACCCTAAACATAAACACTGCAGATGTCACATTCACAATGTGTACCTGCAGAAGATCCCAGTGGCTTCCAATATTTTACTAATAGCACCTATTAAGAAATAGTTTGGGCCCTTCCCTCCTGTCAGTTGAAACTGTCAGCTGATAAAGAAATTGCACAAGAGAGGAAAACAGCTTTGCAGAACTGAGATGTGCATTCAAGTATAGCAATTATTTTTAAAATCGACACAGATAATGTATGATTATTAAGAAAATCTAGCTCCCTCGACGAAAAAAATTGACTCACCTTTGCATCACTGCCAGGAGTTGCACTTAGAGCCAAGACTCGAAACTCTTTGGTGTATTTGCATAATTCTTTCACAACCTGAAGGAAGAATAACTTTCATCACCACTAAGTTTGTTCTATTACATCCAAAATAATTCTGAGAAAATGCAAAATATGAACAAGGCAAACTCTGAATCCCAAATTAGTAGCATCTAACAGAAAATCAAAATTCAGTTTCAGTAAAATAAATTTGTATCTTGCTGAGGTATAAGCTTGTCTTTGTAAAAGTATGCTATGCGATAACCTCACAGACAATATTTATTTTCTGGTTAAATGTTTAAATAGACAGAGTCACCAGCATCATGAGACTGCACTGCTAAACCTAAACTGCAAAACTTTCAGTGAGGCAATTTTTGCAATTGTAAGAACCAAAAAAAGTGGAATATTGGAGTTATAAACTCTAACTCAAATATCCCACTTTTTTTGGTTCTTTCTATTCTGACTTCCACTGTTATGGTATTGCCAGAAATCAGAGTTTAAAAGATGAGATAGATAACATGTCTTCAATCAAAATAGCTGCAGATTTCTCTTTTTCCTTTTATTGCCCTAGGGTCAAACACTTTTTTCTAGAAATTTTCTTCATTTTCTTTACTAACATTCTTACCCAAATTATATTATTTATATGATGATGCTTCTGTTGAAATGCAGAAAAAAATAGAAAAAGATTAATCCCATATCAAAAAAGAATCTGGAAATAAAAAATAAAATAGAAAAGAAATGCATACTTGTGGCTTATTGGCTACAGGTAAAACAAGAGAGAATTGATTTCAGATTTGCTACTTATAACCTATACAAGATTGTCTATCTGTAAGATGATATTTAAGAGCCACCTAGTGGCAAAAAAAATCTTGTGCCTGTACGAGGATAAGTGGATTTTTTCAACTCTCAGCCCCATATCCTGGTTCTTGATGTAATCTTTTTCAATACACGCACTGAAGTGACTACATAAATATGCAACTCTAAATCAATTCAAAATAGCCTAATAAGATTGTAAAGTGCTCATCAATAGCCGGAAGACACTTTAACTAATTTCTAGAGCTGCAGTTTCTTGATCAAATTTCAAAATCCCTGTTTAGAAATTAGTGCAGAAAGAGCTGTTTTTTTCCAACTTGCTGCTTAGGAGAGAAAAAGAGAAAAAAGAATGAATGCCTGCATCAGTTTTTGACTTGGTCACACCCACCCTCTGTTTGCTCCAGGCTAATATGTTCTCCCATCTAGCTTGCTTTTTAAATAATAACCTATTCAAAGAAAGAGTATAAGCTTGTACAATCACACTACCTGACAATATGCATGATTTCCAAGAGCTTTATGGGCTTCATCAATAACCAGGCATTTAATTTCTGCTGCTGGACATGTGCCACGAGAAAGATCATTTGCCATTATTTGAGGAGTGAGAAAGAAGACTCTTTTGGTGCACCAGATTTCTTTCCGATCAGCAATTTGGGTACCTCCTGAAAAAAAGAAAAGATAAGAAAAATCTGTATAGCGCTGCTCTTTACTAGCAATTAATATGAAATACACATTCTAGCAGAGTTTACATTAAATGCATTCTCATACTTTAAAAAATCAGCCTACAGATTTCTATATTGCTAGACATAAAAACATTTTAAGTGACAGCATTTCAGAATTTAAAAAAAGCTTGTTGTATCCCATCTAAATAGAATGATAGTACTGTACTGAAAATGGAAAATTATTTGCATTTTGCATAAAGTACAGATCAGCAGTCATGAATATTGTCACAGATCAAATTCAGGAAATTCAGTTGAATTATTTTTCAAACTAAAGTCCACCAAATGTGTTGAATTATACATCATCCAATGGTAGCACTAGCTTTGAAATCAGAAAGTACAATTCAAAGTCCCAGCAAGACTGATTCATTGCAAGGTATACTTGCTGTGCTTGCCTACATATTCACATATATGGTATATCCAAGAGTAATGCAGTAACAGTTAGGGACTGCCCTGCCAAAATACTTGAGTAAACAATAGTCTCGATTGTGGGAATAATGATATTTGAGACTAAGAAAAAGGGTAATTGGATCAAACAATTTAAGAAATCCCACTATGGAAGGATTTAATGGCTAGAATTAATCACATTTAAGTGTTTTGGGTGCAAACAGTTAAAAATTAGCACATAAGCAGAAATGCAAATAATCCATAAGAAAAAACTGAGAAATACCCATAATAACAGGTATCATAAACTTTGCCCCCAAATTATGCAACTTCGTAAAGACTGGATTTTGCAAATAAGTATCTAACATTTAAAAATAAATGAACAAGGATTTACCTTGCTCCTCAAAGTCACAACTGTTATTCAATTTATTCTGTGTAGAGAAATACACACAGCACCCTTCAGCGTTTATTTTTAAAAACAGGACTGCTGAATAAGGTACAAAATAACCACTACAATGAAACCAATAACCCAGTCAGGGCTTAATATATATGGGATACCAGTCACAGGAATTGGGCTGCTTCTAAGTGCTGGTGATATCGATCCAACCGCAACTGATATATAAAAAGGACAAAATAAAATCCTTTCGGTCTTGTTTCACTACTGGTCCGTTTCCGCGGATAAAAGAGGTGCCTTACTCTGGAACTTCTTTTCAACTTCATAATCTGTCTTACAGCTCTGCTCCCACCCCACTAGGGATCACATCCCGCTTAGCTTAACTGGTGGCTCGGGCGAAAACAAGCGCGATCCTGAACCACATGCAGAGCGTAATCAAACACCCACCAGTCATTTCGGCCATATGTGCAGCGGGGATCCCGAGGAGGCGAGCGCAAGCCTCCCGTTGCTGAGCTACTAACGGCTTGGTCGGGGCCAGGAAGAGGATCTTGCCGCCCGGGAACCACCGGTAGAAATTGTACATGACCACGGCGGCTACCAGTGTTTTGCCCATTCCAGTAGGCAGGCAGAGCAGCGTGTTGGCCAGGAGCGCTTCCCACGACGCTCGAACCTGATAGGCACGCTCCTCCACGCACCCGCTGGACGGGAACATCCACAGAGCGCCCGGCGCGCCGCCGATGAATCCCCGGGCACCAAGAGCGCCCGGCGAATCCGCTGCCTCGGCCTCTATGGCTGCAGCCAACAGTTCCGCCTCTTCTTCCTCCTCTTCTTCCACCGCCGGCGCAGGAGTCGGCTGCGCTCCCCATGCTTGGAAGAGCGTGGCCTGCCGGCTTCTGCCTTTCATTTCAGCAGCGCCTCCGCCGCCCTCTCGCTGTTCTCGTGCAACTCCTCTCAATAAGTAACGACGCCATCTTGGCGGCCACCGAAAACCCCGCCAGCTGCGAGGAGGTCCCTGATTGGTCGAGCCCAAGAAGGCGGATCAATCACATGCTCTATTCTTGCACTTTTTTTATTCGCTATCACAGAAAGGGAGGTTCCGACGAAGGAGAGATCAACCAACTCTTGAGGGCAGAATACAATACCCAGCATGCAACAGGAATTGCTCTGCTTGTCTGTCGTTTGCGTCCTCCCAATTATGTGGCAGGAGCCTCTGCTTTCTCGGGTAGAACTACGCTACCCAGCATGCTCAACAGGAAGAGGCGAACAGAGTGGCGGGGCGCGCCAAGCGTGCTGGAATTGTATTTCGTGCTGTGGGCTTGTGAAGGGCCGCTGAAGCGTTCCCGGACTTTCTCCTAGTAGGCGCCCGCCTGAGGCGATGTAATGGCGGACCGTGCGCGCCCTTGGAGCCTGGAGGAGCTGCGGAACGAGGCGCTGCCCAAGCGGGAGATTGTCCACTTTCTGCAGGAACAAGCGGCACACAGGGTGCGGGGTCCGAGGCGCGATCTGACGGGTGGGCAGGCTCCATTCATATGCCCATGCGGGCTAGTCTGGACACGTGTGGCCGCTGTGCTTTAATTTGGCCAGAAGATGGGTGCAAAGTTGCGAAGTCCCCTCTCCCCTCTCTGCTTTTTTTTTTTTTTTCTCTCGTTGCCCATTTTCCCTTAGTCAGGGCACCCTCTTTCTAAACCCTGTTCCGCTCTTCGAAGCAAACCATGTAGATCTCTTCAGATGTGATGAGAGCCTTCAGTGGGATCGAGTTGTCTTTCTTCCCCTTTTTCATTTCACGTGACTGCGGCGTTCCTACATGCCAGCCTTTCCACGCCTGGGGGGCAGGAGGGGATAGGGATTGCTGATTCCATTACTGACGGGCCAGGATGGAGTAGTTTATAACCACAGATTGATCATGCACTAATTAATTCTTGCAGATTTTAATACATTGATTTTGTTGTTATTATTTGTTGAGTGATCATTAGATGCCATTGGCATACTTGCCTTGAATTTCAGAACACAGCAAAACATTAAAGTCATCTGCTGTTATAGGCAATAGTCTTATTTTTTTTGAAATGCAAGAAAGCTGCCCATTGGATGATGCATCAAAAACAAGACTAGGTCTTGGAGAGGGCTTCCTGTAGCCATTCATCTGTTATCTATGATAATGTGCAAAGCATTGCTAGGGGATAAAAAAAAAATTTCAAATTGAAATAGTTTAACTTTAGAAGAATCCAAGAAGCTTTCAGTTTAAAGTGCAAAGGAGAAAGGGGTACTATATAAGTGAAAGCTTCCTTCAGTTATACAGTACCTTCTATTTTTAATTTTCGCTGAACTAAATTTATGGACATGAAATCAGGCATTTTGGGGGGAATTTTATGAAACTGATTTGTTTTAAAATGTATTTAAAGCAGATGTACAATTCCATAGCTTACTTAAATTGCAGATGAATGTATGTTTATCTTCCGTGAAATTGGTCGATAGGAAAAATCAAGAGGAAGAGAGTTTAGTATTCTTTTCACAGTGCGCTTTATTCTTTTTCTGTGTTATGATTGGGTTCTGTTCTGCAGTTTGCTGAGACCATCCTGAATGGAGTTCTTAGTATAGGAATTACAAGTTTTTGGATTTCAAGAGCAATACTTGGATTTATTTGATGCTACTAGAAACTTTAGATATACTTCAAATTTTCATATTGTAAAGTGTATATACTATTCCAGCTCACTTTGCAATATAGGAAAACTTGTCATTTATTACAGGTAGCTGAATTAATCCTAAATTTTGTTTGTAGTTTCTTGCAGAGCACAAGTTGCTTGGTCAGATAAAAAATGTGGCTAAAACAGCTAGTAAGGATCAGTTAATAACAGCATACAACCAACTCTTTGAAACAAAGGTAAGTCTTAAGCTTGTCTTACTTTACCAGTCCTTTTTTTGTAAATTGAAAATGGATAAAAAGCTCAGTGGATAGATCAAGTATTTTTTTTACAAAAGGCATCTCCACTTAAAAGAACTATGGACGGCTGTGCTGAAGAAATTATTGTCTTTATTCTTTGATTGTTGTTGAACTTTCTGCTTGAAAGAAAAAAATACAAATCTGATTTGGGTTTTGATTATTAAGTAGATTATGGTTATAGAAGTGACTAGTATTTAATATTTTCGATAAGTAAAAAAATGATATTATAACTGTATTATGTATCTTACTGCACTGAAAGAAATTGGAAGTCACTTTTTCTTTTCTTTCTCTTCACTTTATCCGCTTTCCCCTTTTCTTTCCCCTTTTCTTTATTTCTTGGACCTACTATATAGTACTGATACATTGTATATGGTAGGTCTATCATGACATTTTAGAGGAAGATTTTAAGATTGCACCAAGAAAATGTAAGTGCAATGGCTTGAACATTCAAATATAATAAATATGACATTCATATTATTCAATATTATAATAATATACCAGAGGGCAGTAGAATAGAACAGGGGTCCCCAGCTCCCGGCCACGGCCCATTGGGAACTGGACAGCACAAGTTGCGGGTGAGCAAGCGTGTGAAGCTGCATTTGAGCAAATGATGTGTTTGTGCATGAAACCATCCTCTCTTTCCACTCCCCCGCTGCCACCGGCACTTTGCAGAGCCAGAAAAGTTGCAGACTGCTGGAATAAAAAACAAAGAATTGGCAAATTGTATACTTTGTTCTGAAAATTGAAATTGAAAGGTTCCGGCAAATAGCTATGGTGGTGGTCCAAGTGGTTATAGGCACACTGTGTGCCATTTTAAAAAAATCTTGGGTGGCACTTAGAAAAGTTACACATTGACAAAAAATTCATCTGTCAATTGTAAATGGCCACACTGCTTGGCTACACACATATACTATAACGATGCATTATAACATCCTAGATTCTTGATAAAAACATGATATTTACAAAGGACAATACCAGCTAAAGAACTGGCAGCTGTGACTTCACACTGTTGTGAACAGATATGCTCAAATAGCTCCTTTGCTAGGTGCCCATTCTTAATCCCCTTTGTCTAGAGTTATATATTTATTTTTATAATATTTACTTTTTAATCTGGATTTTATATACTTTGTTTCTTTGTACACTACCCAGAAATCTGTTCTGTGAAATGGGCAACTATAAACTTTGATTAATAAATATTCTTAATAATATTACTAATAAATATTCTTAATATTACTAATAACTTCCTTAGATAGATCATTAAAATGTATATTATTTTTCAGAGCTTTAAGGACACAGAGAGCACTGAACAAGTAGCAGAACAGGTAAAAAATATCAAGATTGATGAAAGCCAAACCAAAATGACAAAATCTGAAGAAGTTGTTGATGAGGTAAGTTGGGAAGTATCTCAATCATGTTTTTCAATTTCTGCTGAGTAAATAAAAAACAACATACAAATGAGAAAGGACATAAAAGAAAAACAACATACCTCGCATAGCTGGATATGTAAAAACCAAGTTCTTTTGTCTATTGAAAATATAAAAAAAATATCCTGCAAAATAGGTCAATACTGTATAGCTACTTGTAGCTGTTTATGTTCTGTGATAGTTGTGTCTGAACTGGTAGTGATTTCTGTTTTGCTCATTTGATCTTTTGGGAATTCTGACTTCTGAAATCAGTTGCATTTTCCATATATGTAAGTTTGAATACAATTCTTTTAAAATAAAATTTATATGATCAAGCTTAGTAGTATATGTCACAAACCTCCATATATATTTTTAAGAATAAAGTTATTGCAGAAAATGACATTTCTGGATATGTGCACAAAATGATATATTCTCTTTGGGACCAGCTACAACTGCAAAGAATTTTCAGTTCAATAATAATCTTAATCTTAATTGATTATTAATTAGCAGATTTTCTAGATGCTAAAAAGATTTCGTTGCAAATAAATATCCCCTCCCATAGAAGGGGTGACAGAATTCCTGTAAAATTTTGTAAAATGTTTACTTCTCTGAGTGTGTATGAAAAGGAAAGTGGACGGTTTATATCCTTCTAAAAATACACTATACTGAACTTTGAACAAATCTCTATCTTTAAAATAGTGAAGCTCACTGTTTTTCTTCTTTCCACTTTTTCATTGCAGGCTTCCCCAAAATATACCAAGTCAGTTCTGAAAAAGGGGGATAAAATCAACTTTCCAAAAAAGGGTGATATTGTTCATTGCTGGTATACAGGCAAGCTGCAAGATGGAACAGTTTTTGACACTAATATTCAGTCAAGTAAGTGCTTAGATAGCTCTTTTTAAAAAAAGCTGGCAAAGCTTTTTTTTTATTAAAAGTTTTACAAATTACAATATAAACCCACCCATCCCCTCCCCCCCTCCCCCACTTCCCAGAGCTGATTACAGGGTAACAAATAAACAAACATACTCTAGCTAACATAAACCAACTAAACTATCAATCAAAACCATAATACACTTTAACTCCTTCTCAAAACAAATATTAACAAATTAAGACAAAAATAATAATACCATTAATACTATTAATAATTATCTAAAATCTATTCAAAAGCAAGATAATACTTTTCAGTTTCATACTTCTTCTGAATATAATCAATCCATCTTCTCCAAACCATAATATATCTTTCTTGTGAATGATCCTTCAAATAGGCGGAGATTTTCACCATTTCTGCTAAATTAGACACTTTAAGTATCCATTCTTCCAAAGTAGGCAATAGGTTTTTCTTCCAATATTGCCCCACCAATAATCTTGCAGCAGTTATGAAATTCAACATCAAATTAGTTTCTTTAACATCCAAATCTACAATAATACCCAACAAAAATAATTGCGGAGTAAACTTTATCTTTTGAAAAAGCTGGCAAAGCTTTTAAAGATTTAAGTGGTCCTCATTGAAGGCAGAGTGATGGAGCTGCAGTGTTTCTCAAACAATAAATTGGAGCCGAGAAAGAGTGTAAACGCTTCACATTTTGCATTTGTTCAAGCCATCTTGGAAAGAAGATGGAAAAACTTTTTAAAAATATTTTTATTCCACTTTAATTTTTATAAATGTAATTCAAGGTGGCAAACCTACCTGATATTCCCTCTTCCTCCTATTTTCCCCACAACAGCAGTCCTAGAAGGGGAGGAGTTGG